GTCAGCCTTCTTTGTGGTCCAGCTCTCACTTCCATAGCCATCGGTAAACATCAGGGGGAAAAAAATCTGCCTCAGTCCTTTTGTATACAGTATGCTGTCTACAACACGTCAAACACACTCTTTACGGTGTTCCATTTCTCCAAAGGTATTGGACTATATTAAAGGGAATTTCTACTTTTTCTCTCTCTCTCTTTTTAATTTTTTTCCTTTTTAAAATGCATTTTATTTTGCTGATACAAACGTTGTTAATTAACCCATTATTATCAAAAATTACAAATTGTACATCTCAACATAAACATAATAAAGAAAAGTGAAAACAAAAACAAAAAACAACATACAAAACAAAACAAAAAATCACATAGACCAATTTAAATATATCTATACAGTGCGCTCCCGTCGTTCCGAAAGCACCTCCGGGTGCAAGTAGATAAATAGGGACCGCTTACCAGCGGGAAGGTAAACGGCGTTCCGTGTGCTGCGCTGGCTCGCCAGATGCAGCTTGTCACGCTGGCCACGTGACCCGGAAGTGTCTGCGGACAGCGCTGGCTCCTGGCCTATAGAGTGAGATGAGTGCACAACCCTAGAGTCTGGCAAGACTGGCCCATATGGGCGGGGGTACCTTTACCTTTATACAGTGGTACCTCGGGTTAAGAACTTAATTCACTCTGGAGGTCTGTTATTAACCTGAAGCTGTTCTTAACCTGAAGCACCATTTTAGCTAATGGGGCCTCCCGCTGCCGCTGCGCCACTGCTGCACGATTTCTGTTCTCATCCTGAAGCAAAATTCTTAACCCGAGGTAATATTTCTGGGTTACTGGAGTTTGTAACCTGAAGTGTATGTAACCTGAAGCGTATGTCAGTCTGCGGAGGCAGCACTGAGCATCATATAAATTTGCGGGAATGTCGTTATAACTTCTTTGATTACACATAAAAAACCAGCCATCTGGTAAGCACACATGAGCATAATTAAAAGTAATCTGTTGCACACGTGAGTAATAAGTATTGACCCAAAATTACAGGACCTAGGAGAATTGAAAAAGAAAGAAATAACCTGGTTGGAATATTATCAGTTAAAAGCCACCTTTGAAAAGGATAAAAGGATTAAGGGATTTGATAAAAAATAAATATATCTTATATGGAGCTAGACATATTATATAGTAACCTCTTTCTAAAATGTATAAATTATTATTGAATTGGCAAAGGAAAGAGGAAGATATTTAAAAAGTTATAACAAAATGGGAGCAAGATCTGGGGCATATGACTGAATCCCATAAATGGAAGGAATTATGGAGTAAAAATATAAAATTTACAGCTTGCTATCTTATAAGAGAAAATCTTATGAAAACATAATATAGATGGTATTTGACCCCTGTAAAATTGGCGAAAATAAACAAATCATATAAAAATAAGTGCAGGAGGTGCAAGGAGCATGTAGGAACATACTACACATGTCGTGGTCTTGCCCAGTGATACAAAAACTTTGGAATATGATTTACGAAGAGATAAAAAGATTGATAAAAATTACTTTCAGCAAGAAACCAGATGAATTTCTACTAGGAATTGTTCCAAATAACATCCCTAAAAACAAATTCAGGTTATTTATGTATGCGACATCAGCATCAAGGATTATTGTGGCAAAACATTGGAAAGATGTACATGCTCCTACTAAAGAAGAACGGTTAGCTAGGAAACCCCACAAGGAGGTGGGGTTGCGGGCGGCACGCCCTTCCCCACATTCACGGGGGCGCGATACCTAAGGGAATCCCAGCCCGTGTCATACCCCGGGCCAGCCAATCGGCTGGCTCCGGGGGCGGGGCCTCGGCTATTTAAACCTGCTGCAGCCGAGGCTCTTCCTCTTTTCCTCCGCTGCTGCTGCTGACCCGGTTTTGTAGGTGCTTGGTATTTTAGATTCTGTAGCTTGTTTCCTTGGTCTTTGCTTGGCTTCTTTTTCCTCTCCTTTTTAGGTTTACTCCTTCTGCAGCGAGTTCGAAGAGCAGACTTTTTTTTTTTTAAATAATATTTATTAAAGTTTCAAAGGAAAAAACAAAAAATCACATTAATAAAAAAAATTAACAATAAAAAGGAAAAATACAAAGTAGGTAAAAAAGAAAAAACAGTTAAAAACAATTCCATCTTTTCCTCACTTCTTTTACGTTCACTTGTTTCCCGGACCTCCTCATACCTCCCTCTTTTGTATTCCAATTAAATTTGTTAATCCAACAATTCCTTTCCCTCCTTTTTAATCCTAATCCTTAGTCCTGATATATTGTAACGTTAGATTTTTACATATTAAAAACCAATTTTTCCATATTCTTTTCTACCTATATAGCTAGAAACCACTTAACTTCAATCCAACATCTTTCTAACATTCATTAATTTTACAATATTTCTGTAAGTAGTCTTTAAATTTCTTCCAATCTTCTTCCACTGACTCTTCTCCCTGGTCTCGGATTCTGCCAGTCATTTCTGCCAATTCCATGTAGTCCATCATTTTCATCTGCCATTCCTCCAGTGTGGGTAGATCTTGTGTCTCGAAGAGCAGACTTTAGATCAATCTTTTGTTTTTTTAAGCCCTCAATTCAAAGGCTCTGTCTTACTTGCGGATTATACAGTGGCTTCTATAACGCGGGTGGCTGCGGCGCCCGTGTGAGGTTGGTGACTGGGGTTTTTATTAACATTGTGTGTGCTGTTTATTCACAATTTTCCTTGCATGAGTGAAAGGGGAGGCAGCTTGTAAAAGGGGACCAGGGTTTAAAGCGTAGGCAGCTCATTTCGCGCTTTAACATTCTCAGGGTTTTAACCTTGATTGTGTCGTTTATTCTAAATTTTCCTTGCACGAGTGAGGGGGGGGGCTGTTGGGTTGAAATCACGACAGACGAGTGGTAGGTGTCCTATGAGAGGCGTCTGCCGGGGCAAGCCCCGGGAACTCTCTTTTATTGAATATTACAAACATTGCCACAGGTGTGCTTGTGGCTGATTGGTTGATACAAACACAAAGCATCTTGTTGCTGATTGGTTAACATAGGTACAAGGCGGGAATTACATGCAACCATTTATCACTGATAGATCAAAGGATGAGAAATGGAGCTGGAACTAGACAGGCATGAAACCTCCTAATTAAATTATAACTAAAGATTAATATTGAGAGAACATAACATGAAGGAATACAACAATCACGTTCCGTAGATGTGGTCAGCAAAGCATTAAGAACAGGTCAGGATACACTGTTTCATGAACTCAATGGGAACTGTTCAGAACATTCTCAGACTCTTGTGCAGAAGCAGAGAAAAGATTATGAGCGAGACTTCCCAGAATGCAAGAGAAAAGAAGCAATAGTTCTCATAGTCCCATAATGCCACAGTTATGTGCAGTAAGAGAACTGCAGAAAGAAAACTTCCCTTCAGGGGGCAGCTTTAAAACGGGGTCAGTTTTAAAGGAAAGGTCGTGATTGCAGGGTCGCTCTAGCCGGGCTTTACTAAGAAAATTGTTTTCCGGTTGCCTTGGTTACCGCTGCTACCCGGCGCCATTTTAACTCAACCACGTGGTCAAAAAAGGCAGCCGCCATCTTAGGAGAGGCATTCACCCTCCGCAGGGTCAGTGCTCTTTAAATAAAGCTGCCTCCTTCTAGTATTTGCCAACTTTGTTTTACCCTTCCTTCTTAGCAGCAGCTCTGACGCTTCTTATAAATTGCCAGCACAGGCTAAGCTGCTCCGTGCTTGGGCTACTACATTGTTGTGATCCCTTGGCTGGCTCCCGGATCTACAGGGGAGAATCTATTATTGTAGCAAGTTGCTGAATGACAGGCTTTTAAAGTGCGGTTTATTGGGGGAAATACTTTTTAAAAAATATTATCATAAGAGTCTTTGGAAGGGCTGAGTACTGGTTTCAAAGTGCTGACTGCTTTTGAAATTAATTGGTGCAATTAGCAAATGCTGTGGCTTATGTTATTTCAGCTCTGCTTTTAAAAGCCTCAACTCACAGGCAATTAAAGGTCCTTGGAGGTGCTGAATGCTGGTTTTAAAGTGCTGTTTGCTGACTGCTTGTAAAATTGATTGGTGCAATTGATTGATTGGTGCAATTGGCAATCACTGTGGCTTATATGTTATTTCAGCTCTGCTTTTAAAAGCCTTAACTCATAAAGGCAAGTAAAAGACTTGCTTACAGTTCGGTTGGTTCTGGCAATTGAGGACTGCCTCTTTAAGCTTTTATTCACAGTGGCAGTTAAGGGGATTCTTAATTAAACCTTCTTGGATATTCCCTCAATCTTACACGCAGGCTGATAGTGGCTCACTTCCTTCTTTTATATCACAGAGTGTAGGACTGCAGGTTTACAGGTAGTGTGTTTAGTGCGGAATTACTGCGTTTTACCATTGTAATCAAACGCCTGGCAAAGGGTATATTCATACACAGCCCATTATATTCATAGTATATACTTATTGCATAGTCATCTTATACAACTCAATTCATTCCATTTAGCATGATTCATTACTCATATTGAGTGCATATAGCGCGGTAAGATCGTGGGATACCCTTTGTCCAAATTGGGTTTCCTCCTGCTGGCGTAATTAATACTGAAAAGTGCGGAGCTGGTCTAACCATACTTTTGGTCAGTCAGCTTAGGAAATACTGAACTAAGCTTAGGGGTCTAGTGACACGTGCATTATATAAATAAATTCTTAAATTACACAATTAACAAATAAAAAACATTGTTAATAATAAAATAATTAAAATAATAAATAAATAAAAATTAATTGATTTTATTTTAAAATAAGTAAGTAAATAAATAAAAAATAATAATTAAAATTGTTTAATAATAATAAAATAAAAAATTGGGATTAGGATTAGTGGGGGCACGGTTGCGTATTAGTTCTTGCCAGACCAGTTCACCTAGCCAGGTGCTGGTGGTGTACGCTCCTTCCAGCATGCCTTCTGGTAAGAAACAGGCATCTTCCTGCAAGGGGAACACGGAAGCCACTCAAACTAATTCACTGGTGCCTGTTATGCCGTGTAACCCGCAAGCATTTGCTCAGTTCTTTGCGGCATTTGAAACCTTTTATAGGCAGTGTCGGCCAGGGGCCATACCACTCCCAGCGCCACCGCCAGCCTCCCAAGGTTACATTCCTGGCACCCTTCCCAGTAATCAGGAACAACCAAGTACCTCTGCCTCTGGTTCGGGGATAGCCCCACTGGGACCCGCCGCTGGGTCACCACGTATAACTCGCTCTCAATCTGCTCGCTCCCTTGGGTCTAATTCAGGCTTCTCTGGTGGCAGAGCACCTCCTGAGAGGTCTAGCAATACTAAATCTCATCAGGACATAGGTGTGCCCAGTTTCTTTCAGGAAGCAGCGCAGCAGCTCACGTCGGTGGAAGGAGATTCCGGATCATCGTATGAAGAGGAACAACAGGGATGCCATGATGACCCCCCGGCCGCTGCCCAGACTGTTGCTGACACTGAGCAGCAGGGTGGGAAAAGGAAGTCCAAGAAGAAACACACTTCGAAAAAAGGCAAGAAAAGCAGGAAGTCAGATTCCGAGGACGGGTCAGGTACCTCTTCTTCCGATTCGGATAGCGACGCCCCCATGGAGGCTTACTGGGGCTTGGGCGAGGATAATTCTGGGCTTCCTTTGTGGGTGCATGAAAGGAGGGCTAACTCCCACCGTAAGTCCTTTAACGGGTCCCTGGAGTGGAAAGGGGGGGCATTGGTGGAAGACGTAAAAACATCCACCAATGTGTCGGCCGATTTTATATTGGGAAATCATTTATCTAAGAAAAAGAGGACCAAAATACTCAATGGGCACTACATCAACATATTTACGCTCCTCCCCCTGACAGGTAAAGGGGAGAAAAAACGCATTTATGGGAAGCGGAGATACAGAACCCCGCAGGCGGAACGTACTTTTGAAAATTGGTTAGATAGCTACCAGGTCTTCATGGGGGTAGTTTCCGCAGCTTATCCAAAACGTGCTATGCATCTCATAGCACACATGGCACACGTTAGAAGGGCCTTTACGCTAGCAGGGGAGAATGCCGCCTTATCTTATGACAAGGATTTCCGTAGAAACGCGTCACTTCTGCCATCCACTCGCTGGGAATTGAGGGACGAGAACTATTGGATGGATCATGTAGGTCCATATGTTAAGAAGAAATCCCAGGATTCTCCAAAGGTGAGAAAGATGGAGCCAAAACGACGTCGGCAATGTTGGGATTTCAACAGGGGGGTCTGTTCCCAACCCACATGTAAGTATGCACACGAATGCGAAAGGTGCCTCGGTAATCACCCGGGCTCCGCCTGCCCCAAAGGAAAGCAGCTCTTTCGAGGCGGCAGGGGATACTCCCACCAAGGTCCTAGGGGTACCTTCGGACACCCACAGAGGACCTCCGGGAACTGCCAGTAATGTGGCCCTTGGGCTAGCTCACACACCTATCAAATTGCACCCGTTAAAAGCCCTATTAGATCTATACCCCAATAAAATAGCAGTGAGATACCTTTGGGAAGGGTTTTCCTCAGGCTTTAGAATCCCAGTCTCCTTTCCACCAAACCCGGGCGATCCACCCAACCAAAAATCAGTGAGGGAAATGCCGGAGATAGCCAGAAAGAAAATTCAAAAAGAAATTGCAGCTGGGAGGGTGGCCGGTTCCTTTAGCCAACCCCCTATCGAAGGCTTGCACATCTCCCCACTGGGTATTGTTCCCAAAAAAGCCCCTGGGGAGTTCCGTATGATACACAGTCTTTCATACCCAAGGGGAGGTTCCGTCAACGATGCCATTCCCCAAGAACTCTGCTTTGTGAAATACGCGTCATTTGACCAAGCAGTTAAACTGATTCGTAAATTTGGAAAGGGGGCGCTGCTCGCAAAATGCGATATAGAATCAGCCTTCCGCCTCCTCCCAGTGCACCCTGAGGGTTTTCATTGGTTAGGCTTTAGATTTGAAGGGTATTACTTTATCGACAAAGCTATGCCTATGGGCTGTTCGGTGGCTTGTGCAGCCTTCGAAGCTTTCAGTACATTCCTGGATTGGGCGCTTCAATTTAAAACCGGCTCCATCGGGGTCTCTATTACCTCGATGACTTTATTCTCATTGCAGCTACAGCTCCCCAGTGCACCTCTTTGCTGACATCATTTATCTCTTTAGCTGAGGAGCTCGGAGTCCCGTTGGCGGCGGACCAAAACCGAGGGGCCCACCACCAAAATGGTGTACCTAGGCATTGAATTGGATACAATTGCACAGACTTCCAGGTTGCCAAAGGAAAAATTAGTCGCCCTTAGAGAATTGATTCAACAGCTTCTTCCATTGAGAAAAATCACCCTCAAACAGATCCAGTCTCTATTAGGTCACCTGAATTTCGCCTGCTGGGTGGTATCTCCTGGGCGCCCCTTTTGCACCCGCCTAGCTAGATTGTCTGCGGGCCTATGCGCTCCTCAGCACAGGGTACGCCTTTCCAAGGCGGTTAAAGCCGACTTACAAGTATGGCTTCATATCCTGGACAATTATAATGGTATATCTCTGTGGCAAGACACAATGATACTTCACGCAGATTTTCAGGTGCAGTCCGATGCCGCAGGTTCGCTAGGATTCGGGGTTTTCTTTAAGGCGGCGAGCCTGGGCTCGAGTGGCAGTTAGGCATTGGTAGGGGTACTGTCCTATTGTTATGCAAATGAAGGGGGAAGGAGCGGCATCACCTTCCCCCAAGCAAGGGTAGTCCGGTAAAGGATTCCGGGGGGCGTGGCCTTGTCCTAAGCCTAAGGAGGTGTGGGCCCACGGCACGCCCCCACGCGGTGATGCCCGGGGGAGGTCCTAGTTGACGTGCCTCAGCAGGACTCCTCCCTCTGGTGATTAACCCTTCCGGCCTCTAGCCGGTTAGTAGTTAGGACCAATGCCTAAGCCAATACTACTCAATTCCTGTAATCAATAAAGTTGTGGCCTAATTTGACCCATTAACCTGAATTCTTGTGTCCTGTGTCTTTATTTCATCAGGGGGAGGCAGGAACTCTCCACGCAAATTGTGTGAGTACTTAGAGCTTGCTAAGCTGACAGATGTAATTAGAGATAAACCTAAAATGATAGTAAAAGAAGAATGGGATTATCTAAATTATTTGAGGGGTAAGGGCTCACCAACAAAGATCTGGCTATCAATACCGCAAAAGAAGGGAATAATGATCTGTTGTGCCAAACAATATTTTTTTGTATACGGCTCGTTCTTTTCTCTCTCTTTTTCTTTTTCTTTTCTTTTTTCCCTTTTTATTTTCCTCTCTTGTTTCTTTTCCTTTTGTATTTTATATCCTTTGTTTTTTGTATGGGTTTTTTTTTTATGTCTTGAAAGTTAAATAAAGCTTTAAAAGAAAAAGAAAGAGAAAAGAAAGGAGATTCCAACTCAACTTCAGGAAGAACTTTCTGACAGCAGGAGCTGCTTGAGAGTGGGAAGAAATCCCTCAGGAGGCAGTAGACTCTCCTTCCTTGAAGGTTTTTCAGGAGGGGTTGGATGGCCGGCCGTCTGCCATGGATGTGGTCGTGGGGCCCATTGTGTAAATAATGTATATAAAGCAGACAGTTCAGGAAAACTTCCATTCCTCACTACTATGAGCTGAATAAAGAGCATGAAATCCACACTCGACTCCGAGTATATTTCAGATGATTTAGCTGAGATTCCTGCATTGCAGGGGGTTGGTCTAGATGACCCTCGGGGTCCCTCCCAACTCGACAATTCCATGTTGAAAGGGGCATCCAATGAGCCTTTAAAGCACGTGATGTTCCACAAACAATCTGGGTCATTGCATCTTCCCTCTCACGGACCTACAATCCCCAGAACCGCTACCAAACTACAATTCCCAGGATCGTTTGGGGGAAGACACCTGCTTTTTAGAACAGGGATGAGGAACCTGCAGCTTTCTTTCCCTGGTTTCCTAGGAACCAAGAACGGAAAGCTCAAGTACTTCAAACAGGGTGGTTTCAGGGAGCAGGGTGTATAAAATATTGTTCCATATGTTAGGTGTCTCCCCTCTCTCTGCCAAGCGGTGGCAAGAGCCCATGGGGTTCCAGGCTCTCTCCTTTAGAGAACTGAGACATGGCGGAGACTGTCCTTGCTTTAAGAAATACGGTTTATTCACCTGTTTACATCTTCAGTCTGCATGGAGGCAATCCAGATCTTACAGCAGAGTCATTGCAAGAGGGAATTGACCCCCACAGCAGGCCAGCCAGTCTTCCCAAGTCAGATTCCAGACTCTCTTCTTCCTCCTCCTCCTCGTTCTTCTTCTTTCCAGTACCCCTTGCTCAAAACCTCTCTTTTCCTGCCACCTCACACCAAGACAGAGTTCTCTGGCATTTCCAGTTAGGCTCTCCAAGGCCTTGAATTATTTCTTAAAGGCCCTTGCTTGGTCAGGTCCTTTTGCATAGGCTAGCCCAGGAATTCCGCTGTAGCTTGTATTTTTCGCTTCACATTCCAAATAATCCCAAATCATACCATTCATCAATTTATTCAAAGTGTTGGTGCTGACCTTTAAAGCCCTAAACGGCCTCGGTCCTGTATACCTGAAGGAGCATCTTCACCCCCATCGTTCAGCCCGGACACTGAGACCCAGCGCCGAGGGCCTTCTGGCGGTTCCTTCATTGCGAGGAGTGAGGTTACAGGGAACCAGACAGAGGGCCTTGTTTCACATGCCCCCAATCATGGAGATTGGTATAACCAATGATACCTTCAGGAATCCATTTAGAAAACCACTTTCCCATGTGTGTCATAGAATCATAGAGTTGGAAGAGACCACAAGGGCCATCGAGTCCAACCCCCTGCCAAGCAGGAAACACCATCAGAGCACTCCTGACATATGGTTGTCAAGCCTCTGCTTAAAGACCTCCAAAGAAGGAGACTCCACCACACTCCTTGGCAGCAAATTCCACTGTCAAACAGCTCTTACTGTCAGGAAGTTCTTCCTAATGTTTAGGTGGAATCTTCTTTCTTGTAGTTTGGATCCATTGCTCCGTGTCCGCTTCTCTGGAGCAGCAGAAAACAACCTTTCTCCCTCCTCTATGTGACATCCTTTTATATATTTGAACATGGCTATCATATCACCCCTTAACCTCCTCTTCTCCAGGCTAAACATGCCCAGCTTAGCCGTTCCTCATAAGGCATCGTTGACCATTTTGGTTGCCCTCCTCTGGACACGTTCCAGTTTGTCAGTGTCCTTCTTGAACTGTGGTGCCCAGAACTGGACACAGTACTCCAGGTGAGGTCTGACCAGAGCAGAATACAGTGGCACTATTACTTCCCTTGATCTAGATGCTATACTCCTATTGATGAGGCCCAGAATTGCATTGGCTTTTTTAGCTGCCGCATCACACTGTTGGCTCATGTCAAGTTTGTGGTCAACCAAGACTCCTAGATCCTTTTCACATGTACTGCTCTCAAGCCAGGTGTCACCCATCTTGTATGTGTGTGGCATGTGCCATATGGAAAGGCTGTGTACAAACTGGGATCAGACAATTTCCTAAGGTAGTGTGCCTATCATATGTTTCACGCAGACAAAAATGAGAGACATTAGCAACTTCAGCTAAATGCATCCATTTATTATGGTTCCGCCGGAACATCCTACGGTCTTCTGGGAGGAGGCTTGGGCAGCAGCCACAGCAGTGCAGGGGGGAGATTCTGCAAGAAAGAAGGGATCTTTAAATCAGAGGATCTTTAAAGGGATCTCTAAACGCTAAAGGTTGCTTCCCCCTGTTCCGTTACCTCCGAGGCAGGTATCCTTCACCTGGGCTTCAGTCCCTCCCGGGATGCAGCGGCTCCCAGGCTGAGTTGTTCCCTCGCTGCAAAGCAAAGGAGACATCAGCCGGCACTCCCAGCCACACTAGCCCCAGTCTGGGGCAGGAGGGTGGGCACCTGGGAAGAGGGGCATTTCCTCCTACCTGATCTTACGAGTTCCCCAAACCTGGCCTCCGCCTCTGTACGGGCGTCTTGGCTCCGTCCTGGCTGGCCTAGCTCAGAAGCAGCAGCCAAGGTTTCTCTAAAATAACTCGAGATGTTCTTCGAATTGGAGGAAACCTTGTCTGCTGCTTCTGTGGCAGGCTGGGCTGGGGAGGAGCCATGCCCGCACGGAGACAGGGCAGTGGGGAACCGGTGCGAGGGTCCTCAGCCGGGAACCGCCAGGATGGTATCTTGCTCTTCGTCCCAGGAGCCGGAGCTGAAGCCTCATCCCTGGAGAAATTAGGAAAAATATGGGCTACGAAGGCAAAGAAAGAACCTGAAATGCAATATATTTCTGCCAACTTTTGAGATTTCATAAGATTTCTCAACCTAGTTGTTAAGCATTTCTAAAGAAGATGAAGATGGCAAGAATAAGCACAACACGCCCTTGTTTGAGATCTAGGTGGTCCTGGACAGCTGTATGCCTAAACTGAAGCCTAAACATGGAGAACTATCTATTTCCCAAAATATTGGCTCTGTCCTGGCCGGCCTAGCTCAGAAGCAGCAGCCAAAGTCTCCTCCCTCTCCGAAATAACTCTAGATGTGGTTTTAATGGGAGGAAACTTTGGCTGCTGCTTTTGTGCCAAACAGGGCCAGGAAAGAGCCATGCCCACACGGAGAAGGGGCAGTGGGGAAGCAGGGCGAGGGTTGACAGCCAGGAACCACCAAGATGTTCTCTTGCCCTTCATGAGCTGGAGCCTCATCCCTGGAGGCGTGGCTCTGTGGAGGAAGCATACGAGAATTGGCTGTGGGAGTCAGGCAAGGGTGCCTATTGGCCCCTCTACTATTCAATTTCTATTTAAATAATTTAGTATCTGCACTCAATGACTCAGAACTCCACCCACCGAAGCTTGCAAATCGGCATATTTTGGTCCTGCTTTATGCAGATGATACGGTAATTCTATCTAGAACCCCCATTGGACTCAAAAGAGCACTAAGAAAGCTCGTAGCATACTGTGAATCTGAATGTCTCAAAATCAACTATCAAAAGACCAAGATACTCGCTTTTGGGGAAAAACCAAAGCTTAGAAGCTGGGAACTCCAAGGCTATAAATTAGAACAAGTCACAAACTATAAGTATCTAGGAATGGTGGTACATGCCTCAGGAACCAACAAACGACACATAAACTCCATCGGGAGCTCAGTGGAAAAACCCGCAAACTGTATCCTTAAATTTTTCAGAGCACAAGGGGGCTTCTTTGTCCCCGCAGCTCTAAAATTATACAAGGCCAAAACTTTGGCACAGCTCCTTTATGGATCTTTTCTGGGCCCGCCTTCCTCTGCTTTCTCCCCCCTTGAGAGAGTTCAATCCAGACTTCTTAGAGCTCTCCTACAAGTCCCCAGATGTGTCTCAAACGTCTCGGTTAGATGGGCCAAAAACTACGGACGCCATAGGTGGGGAGAGTGTTCGGTGTTTCACAAGGACCCCTAAGTTCCCTCTGCCCCAGTACCTGAGGGCTGTCACATCTCTCCAGGGATTTGGCCAGAACAAAGTATATGTTGAGGAAAGGCTCCCTCCCTGCAAAGAAAACAGAGCAATCAGCAAGCGCCTGGCTCCCAGCCATGCTAGCACCAGTCTGGCGCATGAGGATGGAGGACCTGGGAAGGAAGCATTTCCACTTACCTGATCTTAGCAGCTCTTCCCACTTGGCCTCCGTACGGGCATCTTGGCTCTGTCTCAGCCGGCCCAGCTCAGAAGCAGCAGCGGAAGTCTCCTGTCACTAAGCTGAGCAGCTGTTTTAATGGGAGGAAACTTTGGCTGCTGCTTCTGTGCCAAACAGTGCCGGGAAGGAGCCATGCCCCACAGAGAAGGGGCAGTGGGGAAGAGACGCATTAGCTGGCAGCCGGGAACTGCCAGGATGTATCTTGCCCTCCATCCTGGGAGCTGGAGCTGGAGGCTCGTCCCTGGAGCGTGGCCCTGTGGAGGAAGAGGATACAGTATGGGCTCTCATGTGAATGGGAGAGTCAGCAAGGTTAACGGCAGTCTTGAGGGGACAATCAGATCAAAAATTAATAAAAGAATGGGACTGTTAAAGAGTACATAAAAACATGGTTCTGGAATAAATATATCGATATGTAATGAATGACTTTTGCAGGGTTAGTGAAATGAAGAAACGGCTATAAAAGGCATAAAACCAGAAGTAACATATATGTAAATAAAATAACACAACAAATAAGAAAAATGGGAAATTTGAAGTCTAAAAAGGGTGGAAGGAAGTCAAAATGAATGTATGTTTTGTCATTATATTGTTTTTCTTTGTTTTTCTTTTTTCTTTGGTTTTTCTTATTTATGCTTTATTTTTGAATCTTATATTGTAATTATGCATTGAAAATAAAATTAAAAAGAAAGAAAGAAACCACAGGCTGTGTACCCACCATACCTTTGGGGCTCATCCCCACTTCCCCTTGGGTCATGTGTCCAGCGAGCTCAGGTGTTAACAGATTTGCTCTCTTCTTAAATCTTTCCTTCCTCTTACCTGTTCTTTTCATGAGGGGGGCTTTGGCAGCAGCAGTTTCCTCAAAATTCTTTTAAATCCTATTCCTCCACTTAAAAAAGAAGAAAAAGAACCTTGCAGTTTTCTCAAATTGTGTTCTAAGCCATAATGTCAAGGGTGTGAGTGTAATTAGGGGGAAGCCTCATAACAGCTACACACCCACACACCCCTCGCTGTGGGTTAAACCTCAGAGCCTAGGACTTGCCGATCGGAAGGTCGGCGGTTCGAATCCCCGCGACGGGGTGAGCTCCCGTTGCTCGGTCCCTGCTCCTGCCAACCTAGCAGTTCGAAAGCACGTCAAAGTGCAAGTAGATAAATAGGTACCGATCCGGCGGGAAGGTAAAATGGCGTTTCCGGACGCTGCTCTGGTTCGCCAGAAGCGGCTTAGTCATGCTGGCCACATGACCCAGAAGCTGTACGCCGGCTCCCTCAGCCAATAAAGCGAGATGAGCACCACAACCCCAGAGTCGGCCACGACTAGACCTAATGGTCAGGGGTCCCTTTACCTTTACCTATTGTGAAGACGACGGTTCCTACATTTCGGGGGAACTGAAGCCATAGGGGAGAGGCATGCCTTATGCCGCCACCTCATACAGAACCTAACTACTATGTTCCTCCTTTATAAGTGGCTCCGTGGTAGAGTGTCTCCCTTGCAGACAGAAGGGCCCAGATTCAATCCTTATTTGCAGTGAGTTAGGTGCAGCCATGGCAGATGCCTGTATCTCCACCAGCTGGCATTCTGCGCCACCTTTTTGCTTGTTTTCTTGCTGTATCATTCATCCGTCTTGTCATCCAAGTAACATCAACAGCTAGAAGCCAAGTCAGGAGAGCAGGGAGGGGAAGAGAGATCAAGGATTCGGATGGAAGAGGGACCTCAAGCAGTTGCGGAAGTTGTGCTGGGACCCATTGGGTTGCCTCCCGAGTCTGGATAATGCATTATTGTTGAAGAGAATACCTGGATTATAAGTATGCCAAAAGAACACGCATGACCTGACGTGTTATTATCAAGCTGCGTTCTTGCTGGACACCAAGCTGCTTTCAAAAAATCACTGAGGTGAGTAGCATAGCATCTTGTGGTTTTTTTTTTTTAAATAATATTTATTGCTTTTATACCTTACGAAAAGAAAAAAGAGAAAAGAAAAAAAGAAAAGAAGAGAAAAAAAACAGAACATAAGAGAAAACAATATATAAACAATACAGAGCACAACATTAACATTAACACATTAAACAGAGCACAACATTAACATTAACACATTAAACAAAACAAAAGCAAAAACAATTCAGAAAAAACCGCACACATCGTACCATCTCAATATCCTCTCTTTCATTCCCTTGTTTCCTCGACCTCCTCTCACCTCCCTTTTTGTATTCCATTTCTGTTCATTGTTTCAGCAAATCCTTTCCATCTTTCTCTATTTTCTGTCATGTAATTATCTTAACATATTTTAACCTTATTTTCCATTAATGCTATAATGCTTATTTATACTTAATTCCTTAAAATATTTCTACTAAAGCCATATAATTCCCTTCCAACATTTTTCTAACACTCATTAATTTTACATTATTTCCATATACAGTGGTGCCCCGCAAGACGAATGCCTCGCAAGACGGAAAACCCGCTAGACGAAAGGGTTTTCCGTTTTGGAGGTGCTTCGCAAAACGAATTTCCTATGTGCTTGCTTCGCAAGACGAAAATGTCTTGCGAGTTCCTGCAGGGTTTTTTTTCCTCCCCCCCCCCCTTTTTCCCAAGCCGCTAAACCGCTTATCAGCTGATAGGCTAAGCCGCGTAACAGCTGATGGCTAATCCCCTTAACAGCTAGTCGTTAAGCCGCTTATCAGCTGATCGTTTAGCCGCTTAACAGCTGATCGCTAAGCCGCTTATCAGCTGATCCGCTAAGCCCGCTAAGCCGCTAATACTGTAGCGCTAATCCGCTAAACCGCTAATGGGCTTGCTTCGCAAGACGAAAAAACCCGCAAGACGAAGAGACTCGCGGAACGGATTCTTTTCGTCTTGCGAGGCACCACTGTATAGGTTTTAAACTTTTTCCAATATTCTTCCACCGTCTCTTCTCCCTGGTCTCGGGTTCTGCCAGTCATTTCTGTCAATTCCAAATAGCCCATCAACCTGGTGATCTTCTGTCCGAGGCTCTTAACTCTTTTCCAGGTCCCTTCTGCAAGTCTTCTTCATATTTGTACATGCACTTCACTTTGTCTTCTCCTGATCTTGTTCTTATTTTCCTTCCTTTGATGCTGAAAAGTAGATCTCCGGGAAATTCCCATCTAGCAATGTTTTTATTCCTTCTCGACAAGTCAGCCAAAACTCCATACTTAAAGCTGAAATTCAAAAGATATTTCCAGTCGTGTTCCAAAGTTCCTCCAAGTAGCATAGCATCTTGGATCAGGGAGTCAAAATCTCAGAAGCGTCAATTCGGAAAGCTGAATTCAAGGGAGGCAATAGCTGAAACCAGCTCTGGCCACGTGGGGGCAGCAAAATACAGTTTTTGAAAGCATCTGCATTACATCCTATGGTGTATTGTCACTAACTAAATGAATACTTGTCATTTGGAAGGCTATAGAAGGGCAAGAAGCAGGTTTGAATTTGTGTTGGGGATCTATCAATACCAGCCTTGGATTATATTAAATAAAATTTTTACCTGGACATGTGCCGAGCTCCATTTTCAGCATTACCAGAACAATTATCCTGGATAGCTCAGTAGAGCACGAGACCCTTAATCTCCGGGTTGTGGGTTCAAGCCCCATGTGGGGCAAAATGATTCCTGCATTGCAGGTGGTTGGACTAGATGTCCTCAAGGTCGCTTCCAACTCCACAATTCTGTGATTTATATACTCTGAGACTAAAGGTTTAGCTGTACCCCCAGACCCATCCCACAAAGTAGCAAGATCGTGAAACTTTGGGAAATTCTTTTTAAAATGAGCCTAGGGCTTGCCATTCGGAAGGTCGGCGGTTCGAATCCCTGTGATGGTGCGAGCTCCCATGGTTTGGTCCCTGCTCCTGCCAACCTAGCAGTTCGAAAGCACAAAGTGCAAGTAGATAAATAGGTACCACTCCAACGGGAAGGTAAATGGCGTTTCCGTGTGCTGCACTGGTTTCGCCAGAAGTGGCTTAGTCATGCTGGCCACGTGACCCGGAAAAACTGTCTGCGGACAAACGCCGGCTCCCTCGGCCAGTAAAGCGAGATGAGCGCTGCAACCCCAGAGTCGGTCACGACTGGACTTAACTGTCGAGGTCCCTTTACCTTTTAGAACATGTTTAGGAACGATGAGTGTGTAGGTTGCCATTATAATGGAATGACGTCGTGACTTGAAGGTGTGATGTATACGCAGCCTTAGAGTTAAGAAAAGAGAGGCATGGAAAGGCCGTATGGTTCAACCTTGTACTCAACCAGATATTCACAACAGAAAATATAATCTGGGGACCACAGCTGAGGACCTGCCAAACTATCAACAGCTGTGGACAAGTCAAGCCAGGGAGCCAGGCCACATGCATCAGTGACGGGTGACGCTGATAATAATAATAATAATAATAATAATAATAATAATCTTTTCCACTCATCCCTCTGCCCATAAAATATTTCCTTTCCAAATTCAGGTGGGTCAAGGCTAGCTATCTTTACCCAACTCTTGGGGAAAGACACTCTGTAAATGCTCAGAAGTGCTCAGTTCTTTATTATTGTTCTAGGGACGAATGCCAGAATTTCAAAAGAGGTTCTGGGACTAAACCCTGCTAGTTCAAGAAATGCTGATGGGCTAATTTTTTGGATGCAGTTCATGTATGAGTAGCCAGGGAGCATCAGTGCAAGATTTTGCATTGCTGCCTTTTCCCTGAGAGCTGCACCATGTCACCATCAGGGCAATCCAGTCTCCAGAATTAGCAAAATCAATTGTTTTTATCCGGTCAGCTTATCCTCCAGCTGTTAAGTAATTCCAGTCCCTGTATTGATGTAACAGCTCATCTGACCCTTCCAAAGCGGGTGCTAAAATAAGTAACAGGTCACCAAGTGGAAAGAGAGCCTGTGGAGCCAACATAATAAGAATTTATGAGGATTTTATTTATAATAATAGGATTCTATTCTATGGGTAGCCAGAGAGGGCAGGGCGAGATTGCGCATCACTGCATTTCCCTGAGAGCTGCGCCATGTCATCATCCAGGCAAGGCCCGTCACATCTCCCCTGTAGGCTGCCAGATGGACCCCAGAAACTGCAGAGCATCCATTTGCAGTGTGGCCACCTGGGTGTTTGGCTGAAAAGCAGGAGAAGGCGGCCAAGGGACTAGTGATGAGGAGGGCCAAGTCCCGGCGGAGGATGACTTTGCAGCTCAACGCCTGGTGTCCCATCAAAGCGGTCATGTCCAGTGAGGTAAGCAGTGCACAGGGCAACTGCAAAGCCAGGAAGACCAAGACCAGGGCCAAAATCAAGCGCAGGGCCTTGAGAGACTGGGCACACAGGGAGGCCAGGAGAGCACAGGTGATTGCTGTGTAGCAGGCCGCTATGACTGTGAATGGGAGCACAAAACCCAGGGCCACTTGCACCAGGCTGACAGCCGCTGTGATGTCCGCCATCCTGCAGAGGTGAACACCCCCGTAGTCCTCAACGCGGGCGTACATGAAATGGGGCAGTGCCAGAGCCATGGAGAGCAGCCACACCAGCCCTGAGCAAAGCCGACCCCAGCAGGTGGTGGAGGAGTGCAGGCGATGGGCGACAGGTGCCCCCACGATCAGGCGTCTCTGTCGCTTTGCTTCACGTTGCTTTGGTTGTATTCTGTTTTACTCTGACTGTTGGGAAACCTTGCGTATTACAAGCAAGCTCTCTGTCTCCCATAAGGAACAAGAACTGTTTTTTTTTTTTGTCCTTTTAAGCTGAAAAGCAAGAGAAAAAGGACAATGGGAGTTGTAATCAAGCATCACCTGTAGGAGAGCTGCGGTTCCCAAACCCGTCTTATTAGTGTCAGCCTTTTCCCAGAAATGCATCCACAGCATGAACACGTACGTTCAACTTGTAGGGTGTTCTCCCTGCCCCATGCAATTTTCCCCTTCCTCTTACCTGTTCTATTTACATGGTGGCTTGGGCAGCAGCCACAGCAGGGCAGACAGGAGATCCTGCAAGAAAGAAAGGATCATTGAAGCAGGGGAGAACTGGACGCTATGCACTGCTTCTTGGGTTGGAATCCTATTTGCTGCTTTCCCAGTGGCATCTGGGTGGCGCCTGTGAGAAGAGGAGGCTCGACCAGACGGGCCCTTGGCCTGATCCCACAGGCCCTTCTTGTGTGTTTCCTTCTCCCTGTCCCATTACCTCTGAGGCAAGAGTCCTTAGTCAGGTGATCTCTGTGTAGCAGGCCGCCATGACTGCGAATGGGAGCGCAAAACCCAAGGCCACTTGCGCCAGGCTGACTGCTGCTGTTACGTCCACCACCCTGCAGAGGCAAATGCCCCCATAGTCCTCTACACGGGCATACAAGAAATGGGGCAGCGCCAGACCCGTGGAGAGCAGCCACACTAGCCCTGAGCAAAGCTGACCCCAGCAGGTGGTGGAGGAGTGCAGGCGGTGGGCGACGGGTGCCCACACGATGGCCACGTAGCAGTCCACGGTGAGGCCCATGAGGGACAGGAAGCCGCTATAGAAGCTGAGGGCATGGAGGCCCTGCAAGGCCTGGCACATGCCGGTGTCTTTTTAAAAAGGTATTCTCTCTTTGCAGCTAAATGTCTAGAGGACTCCCTCACCTCGCCTCACGGTTTGGGTTGGGGGTCCCAAAAGACGCTGCAGCAATTCTCCTCGAACTGGGGAAAGCCTCCTCAGTCCCTTGGGGGTTTGTGGAGCCTTACAGCTCCCTCCCCCCCCCCCCAAGCTGGCGAGCTTGAGCTTGAGAGAAGGTAACTGCGGTGAACTGGAAGCAACTTGGGGGGAAGCCTTGGCAGCAGCCACACCCTCCCTTTAATTAGGGTTTGTTTGCGCTGACCTTGCTATGCCTGTCATGGGGTAATCTGCTTTGGAGCAGGGGCCTGGTAGGAATTTTACCATTTGGCTGATTGGCTGGGGCCATTTGGGTTTGCCTACTGCGTAAGGGATGTGGTTGGCTGTGCCTGCCCCTCCAATGCTGTTGCTGCAAAGGTTGAGCCCTTGGTCTTATCCAGCAGACCGTTCTTAGGTGTTTCATAAGGCCTCCCCTTCCCCCTTCCCCCGTACCTGCAACTCATCTGTCCTTTTCCTGGGCTCCATTCCCTTCAGGGAGGTGGTTCCCAGGCTGCTTCTTTCTCTCGCTGCAAAGCAAACAAAGGCATCAGCAGGTGCCTGGCTCTCCTCCAAGATAGCACCAGTCTGAGGCATGAGGGCCAAGGACATGGGAGGGAAGCATTTTCTCCTACCTCATCTTAGAAGCTTTCCCCACTTGGCCTCCGTACGGGCGTCTGGGCTCCATCCCGGCTGGCCTAGCTCAGAAGCAGCAGCCAAAGTCTCCTCTCTCACATAAATTAGCTGAGCAGCTGTCTTAATTGGAGGAAGCTTTGGCTGCTGCTTCTGCGCCAAACAGGGCCGGGAAGGAGCCATGCCCCACAGAGAAGGGGCAGCGGGGAAGAGGCGCGAGGGATGGCAACCAGGAACCGCAGGGATGTCCTCTGGTCCTTTATCCCGGGAGCTGGAGTTGGAGCCTCATCCCTGGAGTCATGACTGTGGAGGAAGTAGGATATCGTATGGGTTCTCATGTGAATGGCCTCTCACTGTCAGCGGATTCCCCAATTACCGCCTTGTCCCACCATGCTGCTGTGCAAATTTGCAGGAGATAAAATCACTGAGGGGGGAGTTTTGTAATCTTCACAGTTGTACTCTTGTCAAGGAAAAAGAAGTTGTCCCCCAGTTCCCAAATCTGTCTTAATAGTGTCAGCCTTTTTTCAGAAGTGCCTCCACAGCCTGAACACGTACTCTCAACTCTCAACTTACCTGTTCTATTTACATGGTGGCTTTGGCAGCAGCCACAGCGGTACAGACAGGAGATCCTGGAAGAAAGAAGGGATCTTTGAAGCAGGGGAGAACTCGATGCTATGCACTGCTTCGAGGGAAGAATCCCTGAACATGTGAATGGTCTTTCACAGACCGAATGCCAGGGACAGAACGTCCCCTCAGACCCCCATTCAGCTGTCACACCCACCCCAGGGACTGAAAGTAGATCCCACTGCGGAGCTCACAAGAGCTGCCTTTTGTCAGGAACCATCAGATGACCAGGAGATGCAGCAGAAGAGCATCTCTGACTGCATGGCTTTATAAGAGGATTAGGTGACTGAACGGAGGAGGGGGCGGTAAAAGGCTACTAGTCCTGATGGAGGAAACAATGCTTCAGAAAAGCTGTTGCAGGAAGTCCCAGGTGGGCAGAGGGCTCTTGGGCTTGGATCCTGCTTGCGGCATTCCCACTCGCATCTGGGTGGTCCCTGGGAGAAGAGGAGGCTGGACCAGACAGGCCCTTGGTCTGATCCTGCAGGCCTTTCTTGTGTGTTTCCTAAGGCAACCGTCTGTCCCCCTGTCCCATTACCTCTGAGGAAAGAGTCCTTCGTCTGGGCTCCAGCCCCTCCCAAGATGTGGTAGCTCCCAGGCTGAGTCTTTTCCTCGCTGCAAAGCAAGTTCTTGCTGGAAGCCACTGGTGGGGGGAGTGTTCCTACGACTCTCAAATGTTTCAGAAGGACCCCTTGCTTGCAAAACGGCACTTTGTGACATCAGCTGGCAAACAGGGGCCAGGCTGCTGGGTTGTCAGGCAGCTGAATAAAGAAAAATAAAATCAGCGGGGTCAAAGTGTGCTGGGATGAGGCCATGGTGGGTCACTGTGGGTCAGGCCAGAGGGTGCTGTTGAGGTGTGTGGTTGTGCCTCCCTTGGTTCTGCATCTTGCTCCCCCGCCCCTTCCTTTAGCTGCTTATATAGAATCACAGCATGGTATAATAATAATAATAATAATAATAATAATAATAAATTATTTGTACAGTGGTGCCCCGCAAGACGAATGCCTCGCAAGACGGAAAACCCACTAGGCGAAAGGGTTTTCCGTTTTTGAGTTGCTTCGCAAGACAAATTTCCCTATGGGCTTGCTTCGCAAAACGAAAATGTCTTGCGAGTCTTGAGATTTTTTTCCGCTCCCCCTTATCTAAGCCGCTAAGCCTTTAATAGCCTTTTAGCAGCTAATCCTAAGCCGATAAGCCTTTAATAGCCGCTAAACCGCTAATAGCGCTAATCCGCTAATCCGCTAATAGGGTTGCTTCGCAAGACGGAAAAAACCGCTAGACGAAGACACTCGCGGAACGGATTAATTTCGTCTTGCGAGGCACCACTGTATCCAGCCCATCTGGCTGTGTCTCCCCAGTCACTCTGGGCAGCTTCCAACAAAGATTAAAAATACATTAAAATGTCACACATTAAAAACTTCCCTAAACATGGCTGCCTTCAGATGTCTTCTAAATGTCAGGTAGTTTATCTCTTTGACATCTGATGGGAGGGCGTTCCACAGGGAGGGCGCCACCACCAAGAAGGCCCTCTGCCTGGTTCCCTGTAACTTGGCTTCTCACAGTGAGGGAACCGACAGAAGACCCTCGGGGCTGGACCTCAGTGTCTGGGCTGAACAATGGGGGTGGAGATGCTCCTTCAGGTATACTGGACCAAGGCCGTTTAGGGCTTTAAAGGTCAACACCAACACTTTGCATTGTGCTCAGAAACATACTGGGAGCCAATGTAGGTCTTTCAAGACCGGTGTTGTGTGGTCTCGGCGGCTGCCCCCAGTCACTAGAGTTGGTAGAGTTGGAAGGGATCCCAAGGGTCATCTAGTCCAACTCCCGGCAATGCCATGATCCTGCCCACTGCCAACCCTGGCTGGGCTCCAGACCTCAACCATCTTCTTACCAGCCAGATGCACAGACCCCTTGCAATTCTGCCTGGGCTGGAGAAAGGGGAGAGAGAAATGTTTTGCTCTCTGTCCCTCAGGACATGGATATGAGAGCCACACCATGAAGCCCTGACCATATCTCAAGGGCCGTCACAGGGAGGAATTGCATTGCAGGGGGTTGGACTAGATGACCCTCGGGGTCCCTTCCAACTCTACAATTCTATGATGCTATGTTTTAAAGAGCATCCAATGTGCCTTTGAAGCCCATGACTTCCCCCAAAATGATTCGTGGCATTGTGGCTTCCCCCTCACAGACCTACAATCTCCAGAACCCCTAACAAACTACAATTCCTGGGATTGTTTAGGGGAAGATATCTGCTTTTTAGAACAGGGATGAAGAACCTGCAGTTTCCTCACCCCCATTTCCTAGGAACCAGGAACTCAAGTGCTTCTAACAGTATGGTTATAAGGAGCAGCGTATATAAAATATTGAATGGAATAGGGTTATTAAGGTAATTGTATTAGAATTAATATGGAAATTTCAAGGAGGGAGGGAGGGGGAAAGGGAGAGTATGGGATTCTGGTGGTGAGTGATGATTGGATGAGAATTTGAAAAGGAGTTTGAATGCTAGGCAGTTGAGAGTCAGTTGAGAGCAGTGGGTTCTGGAGGGGGTGGTTGGGCAAATAACTATTCAGTTTAAGGATCAGTAGTCAAAAAGTTTTTGATTTGCGTTTCTACTGAAATGAGGCTGCATCTTAATGTTGTATTTTAATCTTGTTTTTAAGTTGTATTTTAATCAATTGTTTTTATACCTGGCGTTAGCCGCCCTGAGCCCTGTCTTGGCTGGGGAGGGCAGGGTATAAATAAAAATATAAATTATTATTATTATTATTATTATTAGTATAGTCGCCATTTTTGTAATAAAGCAGCATATGAGATAAAAAGAATTTGAGGCCATAAGCTCAGGTACACACGTCATCCTACAATCCTTTAGTGAATCATCCCTACAGTCTCCTTTAGTGAGGGTGTAGTACCTAGATTCTGGATCAAACACTGATTTTTTTTGCTCTTTTCTAGTTTCATAGGTTTATGTTCTGGTTCTAATGATGTAATAGGAGTGGGGGCTCTTTAAATACTGGAGTCTGCCACACACCTTTTCTTTTTTAAAATGAAATAATTTCCCCTCAAAAACACATGCATTGTCTCTTTAGGTTCTTCACTTACATTTGTTGTGAGACATTGGTGTTACATGCAGTACAGGGTTGGGAAGAAAAGAGGGGGGCAGTGTCAGATTTTTGTATAGGCTAGTAGGCTGAAGCCTAGGGCTTCTAAATCTATGGGGCCTCGGCAGCCTGCCCACCCCCTAGCAAGCAGTCTCCCCTCTCCCAAAATTGCAAACCCAAGACTTCGGGCAACTCAGGCCCAGCAACTATGAGACTCAGGGCCAGCCAGTGGGGCCCAATTTGAAACTAGGGCCTAACTTGAAATTTTTTGTGGGCCCTAGTTCACAGCCAAAGTCTGCAGAATCTTAGAGATATAAATCCATGTGCTAGGTCGTTTTCACAAGGTCAGCAAAGCCCTTCAGAAATCAGACCTGTTTTTGAGTTCTTGTGCAAGTTTGTACAGTTCACTTCCGGATTTTTTAAAGGGAATATTTTGATGAGCTTGAGAAACAAGCAAAAGCCACCTTGCCAAATGTTAACTACAAAACAAGGAGACAAAGAGTGAGGGAACGGCAAAGAAATGACATAAGTGCACCTGATGCCTTAGATGCACTTTCTTCAAGAGATAAGTTTAGGATAAAATCCTTTATTCCTAAATTAGATGCACTTGAAGCCAATTTAAAAAGAAATACTGCGTGCAGTATTTCTTTCTAGTGTGAGTGGGCATTGTTATCTTGTAATATGTTCAGTAGGGCCAGTTCTGGGGTGACTTTTGTTATTTTGCTTATTTCTGGTATGACTGCACACACTCCTTTTCTGACTGGGTGGGATCTGCTGGTTCAGACACAGCGTATGCCTGAGAAGGCCCCACGAGGTGATCATGAGGAGGAGGTGCGAGGAATAAACTGTTGTGACATTGATTTCTTGGGCAACTTGGAAGGGCTGTGGTGGGATCCAGAAATGGCAACCTGGAGCCCCGCTGACCACTTAACCTGCTCTCTTCTCCATCAGCTTGGGACCTTTTTCTGAGATGCTTGCTGGGTATGATAGTATCCTTTGTCGTTGGAGCATCTTTATCAAGATGCTAACAGATCTGCCTGCCTTTGATCAGTTGTGCTTCAAGGGAATCTCACCAGTCCTCTTGTAGCCTTATGAGGCTTTGCCCTCGGGTGGGAAAAATATTGCGCCTGGGAAAGGGAAAATGGGAGTCAACAGACACTCAAGGAATAGTTTCGGAGAAAAAGCTTTATTTCTACCATCCATGAACTGGTAGAAGGAGCAAGTGTGATAGTTCACAAAAACATGCACGAGTTCACAGTCATTTGCACAGAATATATATTCCCCTTCCAGTTCCCTCCCCTTTCTTCTCCCTCAGGAGTCCTGCCCCATGAGTTCCTCTGAGCATGAACAGAAAGCTCCTGTCTTGGACTCTTCCCAGGAAAGGGGGGGTAAGAAGCCAAGAGTGTTCAAGATGCTGCAACTGAATGAGATAAGATTCGTTTCTCAGGCCTGCTCTGACAGAGTCTATTCATTAGCTTTCCCCCCTTCCAGTACAAGTCTTTTTGTACTGATAAAAGTAACGGTTTGCTATGCATCTTGTGAGAAAACAGAGGAAAACTTTAGCTGTGGATTTTTAGAAGACAAGAAATGAATTTTGGACAGTTTTGAGGCCTGGTTGGGGGGGGGGTGACTTCAGGCCTAGGTGGGGTCACCTGTCCTCACCTTCCTTCACTCTGATTCTTTAATATTTTCCAGCCCAGATAGATATTAACCAAAGGATCTCACAATAGTCATCTCCTTGCAGGAACAAGGAAGCACAGGAGAATCAGATGCACCACAAGAGCATCTTGGATGGGATGGCTTTCAAAGAGGGCTAGACAATTGCATGGAGGAGAGGCCTATCAAAAGCAACTAGCTGTGATGGCTATGCTCAGCCTCCCCTGTGTTGAAGGGAGCAATGCTTGTGAAAAGCACTTGCTGGAAGCCACAGACTCCCCAAATGTGTTTCAGAAGGACCCTTCCTTCCTTCTGCCCCAGTACCTGAGGGTCGTCATGTCTCTCCAGGGATTTGGCCAGAATGAAGTAAACGTTGGGGAAAGGCTCCTTCCCTGCAAAGAAAACAGAGCAATCAGCAAGCGCCTGGCTCCCAGCCATGCTAGCACCAGTCTGGCACATGAGGGTGGGAGACATGGGAAGGAAGCATTCCTATAATATGGGGCACTCAACTGGCATTTCCACTTGTCTGAAGTGGAGCATTTCGCCCCTTGTTCTGGCCTGCCTCTCTCCTAAGGAAGATACAAGCTCTTGCTGGAATCCACTGGTGTGGAGAGTGTTCCTATGATTCCCAAATGTTTCAGAAGCATCTTTTTGTTCCTTTAGCTGCTTGATATAATCATAGCATGGCAGGGCTGGAAGGGATCCCAAGGGTCATCTAGTCCAACCCCCGGCAATGCAAGGATCCTGCCCACAGCCAGCCCTGGCTGGGCTCCAAACTCCAACCTTCTGGTTACCATTGCAATTCTGCATGGCGTGGAGAAAGGGGAGAGAGAAATGTGTTGCTTATACACTCATAACACTAATATGAGAGCCACACCAGGCAGCCCTTTAAATAAGTCTAAAGGGCCATCACAAGGAAGATGGAGCAAGCTTGTTTTTTCCTGCTCCAGAGGCCCTTAGGGCCTGAAACAGTGACTCTCTTTCCTTGGAGGTTTTTAAGCAGCGCTTGGATGCCCATCAGCCATGGATCATCTAGTTGAGATTCCTGCATTGCAGGGGGTTGGACTAGATGACCCTCAGGGTCCCTTCCAACTCTACAATTCTATGATGCTATGTTTTAAAGAGCATCCAATGTGCCTTTAAAGCACATGACTTTCCCCTGAATGATCCTGGCCATTGCGGCTTCCCTCTCACAGACCTACAACCCCCAGAACCCCTAACAAACTGCCATTCCCAGGATCATTTGGGGGAAGACATCTGCTTTTTAGAACAGGGATGAAGAACCTGTAGTTTCCTCACCCCCATTTCCTAGGAACCAGGAACTCAAGTGCTTCTAACAGTATGGTTATAGGGAGCAGCGTGTATAAAATATTGAATGGAATACGGTTATTAAGGTAATTGTATTAGAATTATTATGGGAATGTTAAGGAGGGAGGGGGAAAGGGAGACTATGGAATTCTGGTGGTGAGTGATGATTGGATGAGGATTGGAAAAGGAGTTTGAATGCGAGGCAGTTGAGAGTCAGTTGGGAGCAGTGGGTTCTGGAGGGGGTGGTTGGGCAAATAACTATTCAGTTTAAGGATCAGTAGTCTAGTCGTCATTTTTGTAATAAAGCAGCATATAGGATAAAGAGAATTTGAGGCCATAAGCTCAGGTACACATGTCATCATTTAGTGAATCATCCATACAATCTCCTTTAGTGAGGGTGTAGTACCTAGGTTCTGGACCAAAGATTGATATCTTTTGCTTTTTTCTAGGAAGGATGTGGGTGGGGAGAATTCTGGGATTCATCTCCACAGAAGCATTCCCAACCAGGGTGTACATTGGGCTCTCAAATTTAAAGAGTGCCCTGTGCAATGCTAAAATTTGGCACCCCTCCCTCTTGTTCTTCAGCATTGTTTTGGCACCCTCTGCAGCGTGGTGCCCAGTGTAAGCACGCCAGTCATGCCATCCTAAAACGGCCCAGGCCCAACCTTGGGATATGGTGTTGGCATGGGAGAGGATCATGCTCCGTGTCCCGCCCAGGTGGACCACAGAGAAACACTTCACATAAAACTATAGGAATATCTAAATCAGGCCTTCCTCCTCCAGCTGGCAAGATGACTGTGAAACACTTCCTCTGCCACACAAGGTCACAGCATACCTCCACGTTTTGGTTGATTTCGTGGCACCGCTGCTGGGCTTCTGGAGGTTTTCCCAAACCACAACCCTGCGAAGGAAGAAGGACATTGTACTCTCTAGGCGACAGGGGTGCCGTGGGACGTCCCCAATAATCTTCTTCTGGGGCACAGCACCCTCAATATTTTCTCTTTCACCCCCTCCTGTCTGCCTTCCCAGTTCCCTCCCTTCCTCAATGTTTGGGGAGCAACTTCCCCTGCCATGGAAGGTCACAGTATGCCTTCAAATTCTGGGTTTCCCCATAGCACCGCTGGGCTGCTTCTTCTTGGCCAAAGCCTTAAGCCGCTCTCCCAAACCATGTCCCTGGGAGAGACGAAGGACATTGTATTTTCCTGGCATAAGCATCCACTCTAGGGCACCAGGGTCCCCAGGGCCCTCCCCAATTATTTGGGGCTGGGGTGAGGCGGGCCTGCTCCCCACCCCTGGCCTAGCCCTTTTTGGCAAATGTGGGGAATGGATTCCCCATGAAATTAACATACCACGACTTGCAACGCTTCCCAACGGTGCCACAGCCACTGCAACGGCCTTACTGTCAGAGGAGCTGGGGGACAGGAAGGAAAATAAAAACAGAGGAAGGTACCAACCAGTTATTCACAACAGAAAATCTCATCTGGGGACCACAGCTGAGGACCTGCCAAGCTATCGACAGCCCTCAATGTTTCCTCTTTCACCCCCTCCTGTCTGCCTTCCCAGTTCCCTCCCTTCCTCAATGTTTGGGGGGCAACGTACCCTGCCACAGAAGGTCACAGCATACCTTCAAATTCTGGGTTTCCCCATGGCACCGCTGGGCTGCTGCTTCTTGACCTTAAGCTGCTCTCCCAAACGATGGCCCTGTGAAGAAAGAAGGACATTGTATTGGTTGACATAGGCATCCAACCTAGGGGACAGGGGTCCTGTTGGCCCTTCCCAGTGCTTTTCTTCTGGGGCACAGCCCCCTCGCTTGCTGCTCCTGCCTGGGCACACGACGGCCCGACCCTTGGCTTGGAAGGAAGGGGTGAGGGGCTGAGGCAAGACAGGCCTGCTCCCCCCCCCCCCAGCTCCGTTTCGCTCAGGTTGGTGCTACGACCTCCTGGCACATGTGGGGAACGGATTCCCCATGGAATTAACATACCACAACATCCAAGTTGCAATTTTTATACATGGCGGCTTCCCCTTCTTTTATTTGCTCGTGAAGCCTCTGGGCCTCCTACCTTCAGAATCCATTTCTTTCACCGTCATCTGACAGGCATCCCTCTTGCAGGGCATTATAAGGCTTGCTTGCAAAGCAGCACTTTGTGACATCAGCTGGCAAACAGGGGCCAGGCTGCTGGGTTGTCAGGCAGCTGAATTAAGAAAAAATAAAATCAGGGGGGTCAAAGTGTGCTGGGATGAGGCCACCGTGGGTCAGGCCAGAGGGTGCTGTTGGCCTGTGTGGTTGTGCCTCCCCTGGTTCTGCATCTTGCTGCCCTGCCCCTTCCTTTGGCTGCTTGATGGTAGAGTTGGAAGGGATCCCAAGGGTCATCTAGTCCAACCCCCGGCAATGCCAGGATCCTGCCCACAGCCAGCCCTGGCTGGGCTCCAAACTCCAATCATCTTCTTACCAGCCAGATGCACTGACCCCTTGCAATTCTGCCTTGGGTGGAGAAAGGGGAGAGAGAAACGTTTTGCTCTCTGTCCCTCAGGACATGGATATGGGAGCCACACCATGCAGCCCTGACCATATCTCAAGGGCCGTCACAGGGAGGAAGCTTGTTTTCTCCTGCTCCAGAAGCTCTTAGGACCTGAAGCCGTAGCTTCAAGCTACAAAAAGGAGATTCCGACTCAACTTCAGGAAGAACTTTCTGTCAGGAAGAGCTGTTTCACAGTGGGAAGAAATTCCTCGGAAGGCGGTAGACTCTCCTTCCTATGAGGTTATTCAGCAGAGGTTGGATGGCCATCTGCCATGGATGCTTTAGCTGAGATTCCTGCATTGCAGGGGGTTGGACTAGATGACCCTCGGGGTCCCTCCCAATTCTACAATTCTATAATTCTGTGATTTAAAGTGCATCTAATGAGCATTTAAAGCACATGATGCCCCCCAAATGATCCTGTGCATTGTAGCTTCCAGGCTCTCACCTTTGTGAAACTCAGCCATAGTTGTAGAAAGAGTGCAGTGTCCTTTCAGGCTATTAGAGCGAGTCTGAATGTTGGGGGGGAGGCAGTTGAGAGTTTGTTGAGAGTGGTGGGCTTTAGAAGGGGGCGCAAGGGCGGCTTCCGATTGGCTGCAGGAGCTTCCTGCACTCAGTCGGAAGCCATGTCGGACGTTCGGCTTCCAAAGAATGTTCGCAAGCTGGAACACCCATAATTATTTTATTTGTTGAATTTATATTGCACCCTTTCTCCCGAAGGAGGCCAGAATGACATGGGATGTGGGTCTATTCTTGGCAGTTTCCCGTAGATATGACACAGCTGAGGCGCAACTGGGAACATTGTGTGAATAAAAACCAGTGACTTAAAAGTGCCAACACTTACCTGCTTCTTTAGATGTGTGTCAGCAATGCAGACCATAGTGGCTAGCATTCTTATTCTCTTGCTTGTTTGCTAGTTTCTGGCTTCCTCACATGTTAATGTGGCAGACACGCTTAAAGAACAAATACTGTTGCTTCCATCATGCCTACTTGGACCCATCAACCCTTACATCCGTGCCCTATTTTGCACGCTTACATAATTCAATAAATAAACTCAAACAGCAGCAACAACAACAACAAAAACTGTGGGGCTGTGAAAAATTCACTCTGTGTGTTTTGCTGCCTTTTTGTTAGTTATTCCCCTTGCAGAAGAAGAAGAGGGTGGGGCTCTTCGTCTCCCTGCCCATCCCTTTCCCCACAGAAGCAGCCTTCCGCTTTCCTTTCAGTTGGCTGAATCAGGCCCCACAGGTTTAATCAGATGTGCATCCAAGGGCCAATTCTGACTGTCTGTACTATCTGCACCCAGTTTACCGTACGGCCCTCTAAGGAGGCCTTTCCCATCCACTGTCCTGTTTTCCAAAGAGCGTTGTTGGTAGCGATGGCCTTGGCTATCCATGCCAATGAGCCTTTGATAGTATGTCCACCACTTAGGAGTCCCAACAAAAGCATAGCAGAAGGGGTGCCGCCGCCACTAGGGAGTTCGTGGCAGGGCTTAGGCTCTTAACTCTTCCTTTAGCATCACAGAGGGACCACAAGGATAATCCAGCCCCCTGCAATGCAGGAATATTTCAACCAAAGTGGGGCTTAAACCCACGACCCCAAGATTAAAAGTCCGGCTCTATTGACTGAGCCATGATTGGTGGTCAGCATTTAATCTCGGCCTCTCTGGCAGTGAGGAGCATTGCACCCCTTTGCCATATTTGGGGGTGTTTTTGGAAGAAGCCGGAGACCACCACTGTATAAATATATATAAATATATTTAAGGTTACATATTTAAGGTTACATGTTATCTTTATCATCCCCATTCTATAAATCAGAGCTTCCCAATTTTAAATATATGCAGAAGAAGGTCTTGGGGCTTACTGCCATATGAAAATATTTTAACCCTGAGATATTGGAAGTAATAGCTTGTGTATATATAATAACTACCCTCTAATAACTTAATAATCCACCTTCCCTTTTTCCCCTTTACTATATTAGTATTCTTCTAGAAACTGGAGGGTTCTGCCTCGGAACATACAGGTTGATTCTGTGACAGACCAGAACCAAGATGGAACTGTCTGTACATCATGTTGCCCTGATAAATTTTATTCTCATGAGAACTTTGGAACACAGATTGGCTTTCATATAAATTAGAGCCTGAGGGTTTATCTTCATATTTATGCAATAATCTGGTAGAAACTGTTGGGGCAAATGGATTATATTTACTGATACTGAGCTCTTTCTGTGGTCAGCTATAGTTCCAAGCTGTCTATATAATATAGTTACTTAGAAAAAGAGTCCTATTTATTTCTATAGGGCTTAATTCCATCTAAGTGTTCTTTATCTTACACTACTAGTCCGGAACACTTATTGCTAGTTTGCTTGCAAAGCAGCACTTTGGGACATCAGCTGGCAAACAGGGGCCAGGCTGCTGGGTTGTCAGGCAGATGAATTAAGAGAAATAAAATCAGCGGGGTCAAAGTGTGCTGGGATGAGGCCATGGTGGGTCACTGTGGGTCAGGCCAGAGGGTGCTGTTGGGGTGTGTGATTGTGCCTCCCCTGCTTCTGCATCTTGCTCCCCCGCCCCTTCCTTTGGCTGCTTGATAGTAGAGTTGGAAGGGATGCCAAGGGTCATCTAGTCAACCCCAGCAATGCCAGGATCCTGCCCACAGCCAGCCCTGGCTGGGCTCCAAACTCCAACCATCTTCTTACCAGCCAGATGAACTGAACCCTTGCAATTCTTCATGGGGTGGAGAAAGGGGAGAGAGAAATATTTTGCTCTCTGTCCCTCAGGACATGGATATGAGAGCCACACCATGCAGCCCTGTCAATATCTCAAGGGCCGTCACAGGGAGGAAGCTTGTTTTCTCCTGCTCCAGAAGCCCTTAGGACCTGAAGCCGTGGCTTCAAGCTACAAGAAAGGAGATTCTGACTCAACTTCAGGAAGAACTTTCTGTCAGGAAGAGCTGTTTGACAGTGGTAAGAAATTCCTCAGGAGGCAGTAGACTCTCCTTCCTTGGAGGTTTTTCAGCAGAGGTTGGATGGCCATCTGCCATGGATGCTTTAGCTGAGATTCCTGCATTGCAGGGGGTTGGACTAGATGACCCTCGGGGTCCCTCCCAACTCTACATTTCTATGATCCTATGATTTAAAGTGCATCCAATGAGCATTTAAAGTACATGACATCCACCAAATGATCCTGGGCATTGGGGCTTCCCTTTCACAGACCTACAATTCCAACCAGAGGCCAACCAGAGCATACTGAGAAGCAAAGCAGCTAGTAAGCCTGTTGCAAAGTGACATAATAGGAAGAAGAAGAAGAAGAAGAAGAAGAAGTTAGACAATAAAATTTTTCCCAATACAGGTTTGCCTTCAGATGTCTTCTAAAAGGAGGAAAGATTCTTTTATTCACAACCAGGACAGATGCACACGCCAACTTCTGGCAAAATTCACCCCAGTAGCAACCAGGAAACTCCATTTCCATTTCTTTTTTTCTTTTGCAGAGGAAAACAGATTTCACTGTAGATTCCGAACTGACAGGAGGTGTGCCTGTTTTGTGCTTGGGTATAAAATGTGAGGAGGAGCCTTGAGTCATCCCCAAGGAAGCTGAGCTGAATGTCTTTCCGCCCCATTGCAAATTCCGTCCTGACTTTGTGCCATTTCATGCTGGCCTGTCATTCTGGGTGTGAGATCACAGCAATGTCTTTGGGGAAAGCCCTGTTATTTAGGAGGTGTGGAGAAGGTAACAGAGCCCTGTCACTTCCTGAGGCAACCACACATTCATTGTTATGAGCTGAATGTCCTTCCTTCCTGTCCTGTTGACTCCCTATGTAGAGGAGGCAATTTCAAGGAACTTTTCCCACTCTGGGCTTCTTCTCTCCAGGCTGAAATTCTTCCTGCCCCCCTCTCCACCAACTCAACCATACTGCAGTCTCATCAGTACATCACAAATTGCCATTACATTGGCACTGTGGTGTCAGAACTATCAAAAGTACCTTGCATTTTGCTTTGATGGGGGTAGTCGGTGTTTCCTTCTAGCACGGTGTCTTATCTACCAATAATAATAATATTTTTATTATTTATACTCCATCCATCTGGCTGGGTTTCCCCAGCCACTCTGGGTGGCTTACATAAAAAATTGTAAAGCATTAGAGATTAAAAATGGCAACATTTTTACACCTGAAAACCATTCATTCTTATTTGTTTGCCGGGAGCTTAGACAACATTACATTGAGCAAGTGTTATTCCACATTTTCTAGTGCATGTTCCTGTCGCTTTCCTTATCACAAAAAGTCCGATCTTTCGGGAAAGTGGGTTTCTTGTGCAAAAGCTTCAAATCAATGTAATTGTGCAACCTGAGTTTGTCAGTATGTGATTGAATCTCACCCCAAACAGGGACAGTCTCTTATCTGTTTGGCACCAGCTGCAGAACCATTTATCTGCCTAGGTTTAACGTGACAGACAGCTTTATTTGTCTTGCTAGAGAGTTGCCTTCAGATGTCTTCTAAAAGTCAGATACTGTAGTTGTTTATTTCCTTGACATCTGACGGGAGGGCTTTCCACAGGGCGGGTGCCACTACCAAGAAGGCCCTCTGCCTGGTTCCCTGTAACTTTACTTCTTGCAGTGAGGGAAATGCCACAAGGCGCTTGGAGCTGGACCTCAGTGTCCGGGCTGAACGATGGGGGTGGAGATGCTCCTTCAGGTGGTGAACGGGATGCCAAAGAGAATCCCAGGCAGGGCAAGATAGGAATATCCATTCCTTGCCATCAGCCCCTCAAACCTGGCAATTAGAGATGATCTTGGCTCCAAACAGGGAAGCTGCGCTTCTGGAAATCTAGGGCAGCAAGTGCCAATATCCACACCAACAGCACAACAGAACCAGGCTGCGGTGCTTCTGCGTTAGTGGCCCATATGCAGCATTTAATATGGAGAGATGTCACCCAGAAGTGACCTCCACAGGGCCAACATCTTTGACAATGTTAACTCACACCCCATTCAGCAAAGGTCCTTCTCAATATTAATTAAAAGCTTCCTGTGCAGAAATCCTGCCTGTTACATCACTTCCTGTTGATAATGACGGGGAGACAAATGAAAGGAGGGAGCTTTAATTACTGGTTTCCTCACACTATTTCCTTTTCCCTTTTCCTTTTTACAGTGGTACCTCAGGTTACATACACTTCAGGTTACAGAATCTGCTAACCCAGAAATAGTGCTTTAGGTTAAGAACTTTGCTTCAGGATGAGAACAGAAATTGTGCAGCAGCAGCGCGGCAGCAGCAGGAGGCCCCATTAGCTCAAGTGGTGCTTCAGGTTAAGAACAGTTTCAGGTTAAGAACGGACCTCTGGAACGAATTAAGTACTTAACCCGAGGTACCACTGTATAGTGAAATGGTTGCTGTTCTTTTGTTTTTTTTAATGATATTTATTGAAAATTTAAAATTACAGAAAAAGAAAGAAAGAAACAAGAAAAAAAAGGAAAAAAGTAGACAAAAAGAGAAATTAAACAATACAAGTCAATAAAAACAAAAGTCGAAGGGGGAAAAAAAACAAATCACACAATACATCAAAATCAAAGAGCAAAAATAAACAAAAGATTTAAAAACAAATCCAATATTCCCAAATCTTTATCTTTCATTAACTTGTTTCATGGACCTCCTCCCACCTCCCTTTTTTGTATTCTAGTTATTAATTATCTCAGCAAATCCTTTCCATCTTTCACAATATTCTGTCATTAGATTACCTTAATCTATTTTAACCTTATCTTACCATAAAAACCCTAAAGCTTAGAATCATAGAATCATAGAATCATAGAGTTGGAAGAGACCACAAGGGCCATCGAGTCCAACCCCCTGCCAAGCAGGAAACACCATCAGAGCACTCCTGACATATGGTTGTCAAGCCTCTGCTTAAAGACCTCCAAAGAAGGAGACTCCACCACACTCCTTGGCAGCAAATTCCACTGTCGAACAGCTCTTACTGTCAGGAAGTTCTTCCTAATGTTTAGGTGGAATCTTCTTTCTTGTAGTTTGGATCCATTGCTCTGTGTCCGCTTCTCTGGAGCAGCAGAAAACAACCTTTCTCCCTCCTCTATGTGACATCCTTTTATATATTTGAACATGGCTATCATATCACCCCTTAACCTCCTCTTCTCCAGGCTAAACATGCCCAGCTCCCTAGCCGTTCCTCATAAGGCATCGTTTCCAGGTCTTTGACCATTTTGGTTGCCCTCCTCTGGACACGTTCCAGTTTGTCAATGTCCTTCTTGAACTGTGGTGCCCAGAACTGGACACAGTACTCCAGGTGAGGTCTGACCAGAGCAGAATACAGTGGCACTATTACTTCCCTTGATCTAGACGCTATACTCCTATTGATGCAGCCCAGAATTGCATTGGCTTTTTAGCTGCCGCGTCACACTGTTGGCTCATGTCAAGTTTGTGGTCAACCAAGACTCCTAGATCCTTTTCACATGTACTGCTCTCAAGCCAGGTGTCACCCATCTTGTATTTGTGCCTCTCATTTTTTTGCCCAAGTGCAATACTTTACATTTCTCCCTGTTAAAATTCATCTTGTTTGTTTTGGCCCAGTTCTCTAATCTGTCAAGGTCGTTTTGAAGTGTGATCCTGTCCTCTGGGGTGTTAGCCACCCCTCCCAATTTGGTGTCATCTGCAAATTTGATCAGGATGCCCTTGAGTCCATCATCCAAGTCGTTGATAAAGATGTTGAATAAGACCGGGCCCAAGACAGAACCCTGTGGCACCCCACTAGTCACTCTTCTCCAGGATGAAGAGGAACCATTGATGAGCACCCTTTGGGTTCGGTCAGTCAGCCAGTTACAAATCCACTGAGTGGTAGCATAGTCAAGACCACATTTTACCAGCTTCTTTACAAGAATATCATGAGGCACCTTGTCAAATGCCTTGCTGAAATCAAGGTAGGCTACATCCACTGCGTTCCCTTCATCTACCAGGCTTGTAATTCTGTCAAAAAACGAGATCAGGTTAGTCTGACATGACTTATTTTTCAGAAATCCATGCTGACTATTGGTGATCACAGCATTCCTTTCTAGGTGCTCACAGACTGTTTGCTTAATGATCTGCTCCAGAATCTTCCCTGGTATTGATGTCAGACTGACTGGGCGGTAATTATTTGGGTCCTCTCTTTTCCCCTTTTTGAAAATAGGGACAACATTTGCCCTCCTCCAGTCTGCCGGGACTTCGCCTGTTCTCCAGGAATTCTCAAAGATGACTGCCAGTGGTTCTGAGATCACATCTGCCAGTTCTTTTAATACTCTTGGATGCAGTTCATCTGGCCCTGGAGACTTGAATACATCTAAACTAGCCAAGTATTCTTGTACTATCTCCTTAGTTATTCTGGGCTGTGTTTCCTTTGCTGAATCATTTGCTCCAAATTCTTCAGGTCGGGCATTGTTTTCTTTATCGGAGAAGACTGAGGCAAAGAAGGCATTGAGGAGTTCAGCCCTTTCTGTGTCCCCTGTTTGCATTTCACCATCTTCTCCTCTGAGTGACCCCACTGTTTCTTTGTTCTTCCTTTTGCTACTGACATACCCATAAAAGCCTTTTTGTTGCTTTTAACCTCTCTAGCAAGCCTGAGTTCATTCTGTGCTTTAGCTTTTCTGACTTTGTGTCTACACGTGCTGGCTATTTGTTTGAATTCCTCTTTGGTGGTTTCCCCCTTTTCCATTTTTGTACACATCCTTTTTAAATCTTAACTCAGTTAAAAGTTCTTTAGATAGCCACCCTGGCTTCTTTAGGCACCTTCCATGTTTCTGTCTCATTGGTATTGCCTGACGTTGTGCTTTTAGTATCTCCCTCTTAACAAACTCCCAGCCATCATGAACTCCCTTTCTTTTAGTATTACTGTCCATGGGATCTCACCCAGCACTTCCCTAAGTTTTATGAAGTCAGCTTTCTTAAAGTCAAGAAATTGAGTCCTAGTATGCTTGGCTGCTCCTTTCCGCTGTATAGTAAACTTCAGAAGAGCATGATCACTCGCGCCTAATGATCCTTCCACTTCTACCCCACTAACCAGGTCATCAACATTGGTTAGGACCAGATCTAAAATGGCTGTTCCTCTTGTTGCTTCTCCCACTTTCTGGACAATGAAGTTGTCTGCAAGGCCAGTGAGGAATCTGTTTGACCTTATGCTCTTGGCTGAGTTTGACATCCAACAAATATCCGGGTAATTGAAGTCCCCATTACTACTATCTCCCTTCCTTTTGCATGCTTGGCCATCTGTTCCAGGAAGGCATCATCTATGTCCTCCGTTTGGCTTAGGGATCTATAGTAAATTCCCACAATGAGGTCACTGTTATTCTTCTCTCCCTTAATTTTGACCCAAATGCTCTCACTTTGGCTTTGAGGTTCTAAATCTTGGATCTCTTCACAGGTATACACATCCCTGACATATAACGCCACTCCTCCTCCTTTCTTGTCTGGTCTGTTTCTCTGAAATAGATTGTATCCCCCCATTATTACATTCCAATCGTGGGACTTATCCCACCAGGTTTCAGCTTAAAACTTAAGTCTTATTTATACCTAATTCTTTTTAGCATAACATATTTATACATAATTCTTTTTAACATCTCTGCTAAAGCCAAATAGTTTCATTCCAACATTTTTCTAATACTCATTAGTTTTACAATAATTTTCCAAATGAATTTTTAAAACTTTCTTCCAATCTTCATCCATCGTCTCTTCTTCCTGGTCTCGGGTTTTGTCAGTCCTTTCTATCCCATCCATCTAGTCCATCAACCTGGTGACCTTCTATCCGAGGCTCTTAAGTCTTTTCCATGTCCCTTCCGCACGTCTTCTTCATGTTTATACCTGTACTTTACTTTATCTTCTGCTGATCTTTTTCTTAATTTCCTTCCTTTCTCTCGGGGAGACTCCAACTTGACAATATCTTTATCCCTTCTCAATAAGTCAGCCCATTCTCCATAGTCGACACTGAAATCCATAAGATATTTAAAGGCATGTTTCAAAGTCCCTCCAAGGTTAAGAGCCCCCACAACTCCAAACTCCCCCTGGCCCAAAGCCAGATCCGAAAAGCCAAAGCATCCCTGCATAGGGGGATCTATCCAGCTTCCCATCTCCAAACCAAACAGTACTCCATCTCTCCAAATCTGACTTTCTCCAGGTTCAGTCGTCAAAAACAACAACTTATGTTCCTGCAAGACTGCAGCTCTCTCCACTTCTGCTATTTGAGGTTCAGCAACAACCTCCTCCTTTATCTTCTTCACCACTTGCTCTGTCAAAGCACTTTCCTGGATTAATTCCTGAGTGGTTTCTATATAGGTATTCACTGTTTGTCCAAAATTTCCAACTGCAACAGTCATCAAATCCATCTTCTCATGTAGCTGTTCCAGTAAAGCGCTTGTCTTGCAAAAGCAAGCACTAAAGCTTCTTCTGGGCACATTCTTGTTCAAGGTCAAAGTCTGGTCTCACGATCTTTAATCTCTACAGCTGCAAAATTCCCCAGATCGACTCTAGCAACAGTTTCACAAGCTCCCTCTAGGGGAAACAATTTCTATTTGTATCCGTCTTTTTAAGTGCAGATCTAGCAACAAAGTTCCTTTCGTTTTTCAGATATTTCAGATATTTTGTTCCTTTTAAGTGAAAAGGGAACATTGGAATCAATATGTTTCTCTTTTTTAACTATCTGTCAAAAACGTTTTATCCACAGTCAATGAACTTCCCCAAAGCGTCTGTCCTGACACCCCGCTCCCAGGTTCAAGACGGTGGAAATTTATCTTTCTTTACTCTCTCTTCTGCAGGTTAAACAGTCTAAAAAGATTCCTCCGTCTTCTCCTGCTTCCAAGGGGGGTTTAGTAATTTTAACTGATGGAAATTTAGTCCTTTGCAAATGACTTTCCAGACTCTAGCTTGCAATGTCTTTGCTTCAATCTATTTACAAAAGCAGAAGGCGGACTTCCTGTTTAGACCTTCCCGCTTCGGTGCCAAATTAAGAAGTTTCATAGTCCAATTTTCCGTTCTACTCACGGGCAGTTGTTTAAAATCCAATTGTCCACAGGAAAAAGTCAGCGCTCTCCGGCAACAGCAATGCGGCTTCACTCCGTGAAAAGAGCAGTCGATTCGAAGCACCACGCCATTCACTCCACGTCGCTCCGGATCCCCGAAACCGGGTTTCCCCGCGAGTAGGGGAGGCGCAAAAGGTGCCAGCCGAATCCCACGTCCACAGGCTTCTCCCGCCTAGGGTTTTTGATGGGTCTCCGCCTCGCCACGGTGGTCCAGACCCTAATTCTCACGAAGCGGATTCCTCCCGATCAGAGGAAATCCGCCATTGCTTCAAAAACTTGTGTGCATGAGAAACACCATTTTCACAATATACTCTTGATTGGAATCAACCTGAGAGAAAAGTGGCATTAGAGCAATTTTGTGCCAGCTGTTAAGCCTTGCCCTACAGCAAACACAAAAGGGAATAACTAGTGACATGAATGGGAAAGGCTGTAGTTATTTGTTGTTTAGTCGTGTCCGACTCTTCGTGACCCCATGGACCAGAGCACGCCAGGCACTCCTGTCTTCCACTGCCTCCCGCAGTTTGGTCAAACTCATGCTGGTAGCTTCAAGAACACTGTCCAACCATCTCGTCCTCTGTCGTCCCCTTCTCCTTGTGCCCTCCATCTTTCCCAACACCAGGGTCTTTTCCAGGGAGTCTTCTCTTCTCATGAGGTGGCCAAAGTATTGGAGCCTCAGCTTCAGGATCTGTCCTTCCAGTGAGCACTCAGGGCTGATTTCCTTCAGAATGGATCGGTTTGATCTTCTTGCAGTCCATGGGACTCTCAAGAGTCTCCTCCAGCACCATAATTCAAAAGCATCAATTTTTCGGTGATCAGCCTTCTTTATGGTCCAGCTCTCACTTCCATACATCACTACTGGGAAAACCATAGCATTAACTATACGGTCCTTTGTCGGCAAGCTCTAGTTATACAAATTCAGAAATGTGAGGGTGTGGACCACTTTGGCCTAATCCAAATGGCAGGCAAGTGGGTTTACAACTAAATGATGCTCACATGCGGACAAGCCTGAAAACTGCCACTTGGAGTGGATTGTGCTTCCATTCCCGCTGGCTTCATTCTCTTCTCCTGCGTCAGCACTCGTACCTTGCTGCCAGTTTAGAGAGGGAAAACGAGGCACCCTAGGCTCTGTACCTTGCTGTAGGCTAGGGCAGAGTCCGGAAATGAATCATGGATGCTGCGGTGAAAGCTGAACTTTCCCACTGGTGCGTCACTCATGTTCAGCTTATCTTTGTGGGAAAAAGAGAGAGATGCAGTTAGGGGCAAAGGATTCCAAGAAGCGACTTGCCAGGGCTCAGACATAATTTTGCTGCCCAGAATCTTCCCAAATACTTCAGGTTCTCCTAATCTCAATCCTGACACAGAAAGATGTGGCTCAAATTAAGACAGGATCAGATTTATAGCACAACATAATAATAAATGAATCCGTTCAAAATTTGGAGAAATGTCCAAGTGGAAATTTTTGGAATGTCGTGTTTTTGAAATCTGATCTTTTAAACATGACTCTGACCATGCCAGCTGCATGTTAAAGCTTCCTAATTCATTTAAAGCCCTTAAAGGTTTTGGCCCTATCTACCTAGTCTCCACCTCTGCCATTTAGCCTGGACACAAAGATCTAGCTTTGAGGACCATTTGACAGTTCCCTCCCTGTGAAAAATGAGGTTGCAGGGAACCTAGTAGAGGACACCCTCCCAAGGTTTTTAGCGGGGGCAATTAGAATAAGATCTATTATTTGATCATTGATGTAAACCCCCAAAATGTATTTTCTATAGTTAAGCTTTTACCTCTATCTTCAGTACATTTTATTTTATTTTATTGCTATGGCTAGTGGCTGATGCAAATAAAGATTCTTCTGATTCTGACACCCTCCCATCAGATGTCGAGAAAATAAAAAACCTATACAACTTTTAGAAGACATCTGAAAGTTGTTCTGTGTTTTGGAAGCCACCCAGAGTGGGTTGGGTAGTAGTAGTGTTGTTGTTGTTTCAGTCGTTTAGTCGTGTCCGACTCTTCGTGACCCCATGGACCAGAGCACGCCAGGCACTCCTGTCTTTCACTGCCTCCCGCAGTTTGGTCAAACACATGTTGGTAGCTTCGAGAACGCTGTCCAACCATCTCGTCCTCTGTTGTCCCCTTCTCCTTGTGCCCTCCATCTTTCCCAACATCAGGGTCTTTTCCAGGGAGTCTTCTCTTCTCATGAGGTGGCCAAAGTATTGGAGTCTCAGCTTCAGGATCTGTCCTTCCAGTGAGCACTCAGGGCTGATTTCCTTCAGAATGGATAGGTTTGATCTTCTTGCAGTCCATGGGACTCTCAAGAGTCTCCTCCAGCACCGTAATTCAAAAGCATCAATTCTTCGGCAATCAGCCTTCTTTATGGTCCAGCTCTCACTTTCATGCATCACTACTGGGAAAACCATAGCTTTAACTATACGGACCTTGTTCGGCAAGGTGATGTCTCTGCTTTTTAGGATGCTGTCTAGGTTTGTTATCGCTTTTCTCCCAAGAAGCAGGCGTCTTTTAATTTTGTGACTGCTGTCACCATCTGCAGTGATCATGGAGCCCAAGAAAGTAAAATCTCTCACTGCCTCCGTTTCTTCCCCTTCTATTCGCCAGGAGGTGATGAGACCAGTGGCCATGATCTTCATTTTTTGATGTTGAGCTTCAGACTATATTTTGCGCTCTCCTCTTTCACCCTCATTAAGAGGTTTTTTAATTCTTCCTCACTTTCTGCCATCAAGGTTGTGTCATCTGCATATCTGAGGTTGTTGATATTTCTTCCGGCAATCTTAATTCCGGCTTGGGATTCATCCAGTCCAGCCTTTCGCATGATGCATTCTGCATATAAGTTAAATAAGCAGGGAGACAATATACAGCCTTGTCGTGCTTCTTTCCCAATTTTGAACAAATCAGTTGTTCCATATCCAGTTCTAACTGTAGCTTCTTGTCCCACATAGAGATTTCTCAGGAGACAGATGAGGTGATCAGGCCCTCCCATTTCTTTAAGAACTTGCCATAGGATGGTTGACATAGTCAAAGGCTTTTGTGTAGTCGGTGAAGCAGAAGTAGATGTTTTTCTGGAACTCTCTAGCTTTCTCCATAATCCAGTGCATGTTTGTAATTTGGTCTCTGGTTCCTCTGCCTCTTCGAAATCCAGCTTGCACCTCTGGGAGTTCTCGGTCCACATACTGCTTAAGCCTGCCTTGTAGAATTTTAAGCATAACCTTGCTAGGGTGTGAAATGAGCACAATTGTGCGGTAGTTGGAGCATTCTTTGGCACTGCCCTTCTTTGGGATTGGGATGTAGACTGATCTTCTCCAATCCTCTCACCACTGCTGAGTTTTCCAAACTTGCTGGCAAGTAGTAGTAGTAGTAGTAGTAGTAGTAGTAGTAATCCTAGGCATTCATTTCATAAAGGTAAAGGGACCCCTGACCATTAGGTCCAGTTGTGGCTGACTCTGGGGTTGCAGTGCTCATCTCGCTTTATTGGCCAAGGGAGCCAGCATACAGCTTCCGGGTCATGTGGCCAGCATGACTAAGCCACTTCTGGAGAACCAGAGCAGCGCACGGAAAAGTCGTTTACCTTCCCGCTGGAACAGTACCTATTTATCTACTTGCACTTTGATGTGCTTTCGAACTGCTAGGTTGGCAGGAGGAGACCAAGCAATGGGAGCTCACCCCATCGCAGGGATTTGAACCGCCGACCTTCTGATCAGCAAGTCCTAGGCTCTGTGGTTTAACCCACAGCACCACCCGTGTCCCTATTATGTGTCTAATTTAGCACTTTAAGCCCTGCTTCCACCTCAACCCCTATATCCCAAGTTTGTCCAGAATTAGGGATCCTGGATAAGGGAGGGGATGAGCTGCAGAGTATTTCTTTCTTTTCCTTGCCTCTATTCAGCATGCATTTCCATCCCATCTCCCCCACGGCTCCTGCCAAGCCTGCCCATGTGCAAAACATTGGTCTCGACCCCCATCTTGGCTGGTAGCTGTAACCTGTAAATGACATTAGCCTGGACAAGTCTGAACAAGTAATCAGAGGTTGCTAAGCAAACAATCAATCTACACCAAAGCCTAGGGAGAAGACCATCTATCTTACTTGATAACGGACAATGCAGTTATATCTCCAGGACAAAAAAGGAACATCAATATTTTCACAATCCTAAGGCTTCCTGAGAGAGTTTAAACCAAAAACCAAAAACATGACAGTAGCACTTTTTAGTCTCTTATGTTGTTGTGGCAGAAAATGGTGGTGGGGGGGGAATTCTTTTAGGGTGAGGACATTTTCAGAATGGGTGGGGAGAGTGGGGGGCTGGATGGATTGAAGCGCCACCATGGGTCAAAACAGCCTCTACTTTCTTACAGCATTTTAAGAGGAAGTTTCCACTTATGATGAGGCATGAATCACACATACACAATTTCCACAGATTGGGGGGCTCAGTTGAGGGGCGAAAGCTGCCATTAGATAAGGGGTCAGCAACCTTTTTCAGCTGTGGGCCGGTCCACCGTCCCTCAGACCATGTGGTGGGCCAGACTATATTTTTTAAAAAATACGAACAAATTCCTATGCTCCACAAATAACCCAGAGATGCATTTTAAATAAAAGCACACATTCTACTCATGTAAAAACACCAGGCAGGCCCCACAAAGAACCCAGAGATGCATTTTAAATAAAAGGGCACATTCTACTCATGTAAAAACACGCTGATTCCCGGACCGTCCGCAGGCCGGATTTAGAAGGTGATTGGGCCGGATCCGGCCCATGGGCCTTAGGTTGCCTACCCCTGCATTAGATCCATCAGGTCACAATACGTCGCTGCCATCAGACTGGCTACATGACAGGCACAGAATATTGCCTCTTCCAGCTGGGTGATTCTGTTCATTAGTAAGCTATTAACTAAAGTATCAGAGGTGGATCAAAGTTGGGTCCCATTTCTTTTTGGGAAACTGTTTTGTGGCATAGGAGGGACAATTGGCTCATCAGCCAAAGCTTGTCTGTGGCATCTGGTTGTCAGAAGAGCTATGGGCATCCATCCTTAAAATATTTGGCTATGCTCAAGTGATACAGGTTGGCATAAATACCTACAAAACTGAGCAAGACTGAAAAGCAGAATAGCCTGGTCAAAATATAAATATCGAGAGCGTTTGTTTTTGTTTTACAAAGAAATTCTAAATGTTTATTGCTCTTTTTCTTCCAAAGGAAGCAGAAATACAATGCACCACCACTCAGGTATAAAGCATAATTAAAATAAACACCCAGGGTGGTGTTCAAGTAAATTTCACTGGGAGTAATCACAATGAAATTAATGACTATGACTACGTTAGGGCCATTCATTTCAGAAATTCTATTTTGAGTAAAACTTAGTTTAATGCTACCCATAATGAATGCCATTTCTATGACACACAAAAGAAGATAGGAAACTGCTTTACATCATCAGGACAAACCATTTGTCCAACTAGCCTGGGGTGTTGCTAAATGATTTGCGGCATAGGCCTATGCCACAAATTGCATACAATGTGCTGTGCATATGCAAATCTTGTATATGGATACACACACACACACACACATAAGGTAAAGGTAAAGGGACCCCTGACCATTAGGTCCAGTCGTGGCTGACTCTGGCGAACCAGAGCAGCACACGGAAACGCCGTTTACTTTCCCACCAGAGCAGTACCTATCTACTTGCACTTTGATGTGCTTTCGAACTGCTAGGTTGGCAGGAGCAGGGACCGAGCAACGGGAGCTCACCCCGTCGCGGGGATTCGAACCACCAACCTTCTGATTGGCAGGCCCGAGGGGCTCAGTGGTTTAACCCACAGCGCCACCCACGTCCCATACACACACATACACACTCACAAATTAGGCCACCCTGTTAGCTAGGAGCTGGGGACATAACAAATACTCTTGCTTGATGCATTTTTCTCTCAAACGAGGTTCAATCCAATTAGAAAACTTAACAAATGTGAACATCTGAGATCGCCATTGTGCGTGTGCAAATGACAACTTTGTGAAATGGAGTTCCAATGGAGTTTGCAGGGGTGGGGGAAAACAACAAAAAAAGCATGCGCAATGGGTGAAGACATCCCCACCCTGCCTCTCTGATGTGAACAAAATTGTGCTTGAAGCACAATGACGTCACTGCCTCTCAAGCTGCTAATGTGAACATACAGGACAACCTTCTGAGTGCAAGGTCCACGTTCTGTACCACTGAACTATGTTCACTTTTTGTTGTCTCCGGGAGACAAGATTCTTCTTACCGGCTGTTCAAGAAGAATTAGTGTTGAAGTTGCTAAATTGACCTGTTGATCATGTTTTCCAGCTGCACCGGTTCTCCCCACCCTCATCCAAAAAAAATTTAATTCAGCCTTGACAGCGGGGAGGAAGAGGGGCAGGAGGGGAAGCAGCAGCAAAAGTCCTTCGCTGTCCCCATTTGCTAGATCCTCTATCTTAATGAGATCCCAGTTGTGAGCAGCAAAAATCAATAACTTTCATCTTTCTTTCTGGGAAGGCCCAGAGCAGCCCCAGCGGTACTGGCTGATAAGCACATTTGTATGGATGTCAGCGTGGGGAGCAAGAACAGGATATGCTTTGTTTTGTCAGTGAGAAGGAAAACTATCACGGCTCAGCACTGGGATTGGATAGTGATGTAAAGCACTAACACCACTGGGAATAAGAAGAGTTTGGATTTGATATCCCGCTTTATCACCACCCGAAGGAGTCTCAAAGCGGCTAACATTCTCCTTTCCCTTCCTCCCCCACAACAAACACTCTGTGAGGTGAGTGGGGCTGAGAGACTTCAGAGAAGTGTGACTGGTCCAAGGTCACCCAGCGGCTGCATGTGGAGGAGCGGAGACGCGAACCCGGTTCACCAGGTTACGAATCTACCTCTCTTAACCACTTTTAAGCAGGTAGAAAGCAAGGTTTGTTGGGATCTGAATCAGGATGGACCAATGTGTGCTGCAAGGGCATGAGGTCTTTTTTTGGGCGGCCCTCAGCGACATTTGATGCCCTGCTACCAACCCACGCAGGGTATTCTGACAAGGTCCTAGAACCTTCCCAAAGCTGGGGGAAAACACTAACCAGGCTTCGGGGAGAAGCCTTATGCCTTGTTCCCAAAGCCCAACACCTTTCTTATCCAGCTTTGGGAAGGCAGCATGAGGGCCGGGTTGGGGGCATTGGAGGAGGAAGGGGGTGCGGTGGGGGCGGGCCACCCTGGATGTCAGCACTGAGGGGGGTGACAAAATGCCGGGCAGCACTCACAGCAGGGCCTGCAGTGCCCTAAGCCACGCGTCACTCCTGGGAGTGACACAGTAGCTTAGACGCCCACAGGCTCCGTGCTGCCCCAAATGGTTGGCCCGCCGCCTCCCCTTCAGCTGTAGGATGGCTGAGTGGCAGGAGGCAGGCAGACTCCTCAGAGGCCCCAAAGAGCGTCCTGTCCCGGCTCGCGCCATGGGCTGCAGGCCCCGCCCCTGGGTGCAGGGCATGTGCGCCGCCCCAGGCACCTGATCGGCTTGCTTGGGGGTGTCAAATTTTGGCCTCGCTCTACGCGACAAAGCAGTGTGCAGCCATGAGTCCTTGTCAAAGTGCTCTTGTGGCCCACTTGGTATGAAAAGTTGGGCTGCCCTGAGCTAAATAAAAAGCGGTGACTTTTTTGTTGTTGTTATTGTTGTTGTTTAATCGTTTAGTCGTGTCTGACTCTTTGTGACCCCATGGACCAGAGCACGCCAGGCACTCCTGTCTTCCACTGCCTCCCGCAGTTTGGTCAAACTCATGCTGGTAGCTTCGAGAACACTGCCCAACCATCTTGTCCTCTGTCGTCCCCTTCTCCTTGTGCCCTCCATCTTTCCCAACATCAGGGTCTTTTCCAAGGAGTCTTCTCTTCTCATGAGGTGGCCAAAGTACTGGAGCCTCAGCTTCAGGATCTGTCCTTCCCGTGAGCACTCAGGGCTGATTTCCTTCAGAATGGATAGGTTTGTTCTTCTTGCAGTCCATAGGACTCTCAAGAGTCTCCTCCAGCACCATAATTCAAAAGCATCAATTCTTCGGCGATCAGCCTTCTTTATGGTCCAGCTCTCACTTCCATACATCACTACTGGGAAAACCATAGCTTTAACTATACAGACAGAATCAGTGTGGTTAGAGTGGGAGACCAGGGATCAAATCCCTCACCTAGACATGAAGATCTCTGGTAAATGTAAAATTTTAAACCCCATCAATACAAAAAAAAAAATGGCAACTGAATATTCATAAAAACTTAACACACCACCAAGGAAGGTACACAATAAAGATAGATCCCTCTGTCAAGACTGACTCCAAGTTAATAGGGGCCCTGGAACCCAGCGTAAACATGGGTTTCTTGGCTCTTCCCTTCTCAAAGCAGAAACCCATCTTTCTTGTCCCTAGAAATTACCGCCAGTGTGCTACTGAAAAAGGCACATGTTGTTAAGCTTTCACTATCTTTGGGAATACGAATGCCATTCAACTCTCATAATTTTCTCCTTTATATACCTGTAAACCAAGATTTACAGCATCTGACAGGTGGGCTGGAGTCCATGAAAATTTCTGCCATAGCAAAATTGCTGGTCTTTAATGTGTCATAGGACTTTTTGTTATTTTTAATGGGAATGGAAGAATGGTTGGCACAGAAATTCGCTTTTGAGTACCAGAACTAAATTGAGCTCAATCCTTCTGCACAAAAACCCACTGCAAACCTTTTTACATTTCACTGGTATAATTTTGGACCAGAGAGGGAGTCCTTTTTCCTTTCCTTTTCGACTTGCTATTCAAACAACATGTATTTCTTTCAAAACAATATTAACACAGTTCCTCCACATTTTCTTCTGAGATATTGAGTTCTGTAGCTCAATACATTCAAAACGTACAGAACTTGCAAGAACAAATACTGAATTTAAGAGAGAGAGAGAGAGAGGGAGAGAGAAATCAATGGGACTTTTAAAATGCCCAGAATAACAAACTATCTCCAGTCTAGCACTGTAGTTATAAGAATCCCTCCTGAAAATTAGTTCTTTTTTTGACAACAATGTAGGTACTGAAACTGAAGGAGCTAGAAACACTATGAATGAAAATACCGACAGTTTTCTGAAGTTTTTTAAAAAAGAGGTGGTGGTAGAAAGTATAAGTCATTTTTTGAGAAAAATAACTCAATGTGACTTAAAAATATCAAGGAAGGAAATGCATCAAGTAGTTAGATGGGATAATAATAATAATAATAATAATAATAATAATAATAATAATATTTTTTTTTTAAATCATATTTATTAAAGTTTCCAAAAATATAAAAATACAAAGAAAAAAGACAAAAGAAAAAAGATATTTAAAAACCTTACTTTCATTCCCTACTTTCTGGGACTCCCCCTCCCCCAATTGTATTCCCTTTCCTTAATTTGGTTCTACAAGCTCACTCCCACTCTAAAGCTTAATTTGTTTAACCCACTATCCAGATTGAATTGTACAAATCTTACCACCGTCCCACATCATTAACAGAAAAAGAAAAAAGTTTTTCCCCAAGATCCACCCCAGTTCCTTCCACAAATTCCCTTTTTTTTAAACACGTCCGATCAAAGTAAAATAACATGCGTAAGTTATATAAAGACATAGAAAATAAGAGATATAGAAAAATTCAACAAATGGTTACACAGCCTTTGGATTTCAAATCTCCCCCCCCCCCTTCCCCGGTTTGAATTCCCCATGTCCATCAGTCTATACATTATCAGCTTGGAAGTCTCATTTCATGACCAGATTTCTCCCGATTCCATCTTGCCGGTTTTCTTTTAGTTTATTAATTTAAATAATATTTGACTTCAAATGTCCAATCTAACAAAGGCCTTTAATTTCCTTGATCTTTACCACTCCTCCCGTTGTTCTTTCCGTGTCGTAATCAGTCCTTTATTCTTCTTATTCCTCACTTTCTCAGGTTTCTTGTCCTGTTCAGCTGCTAAAACTTTCTAATTCAGAAATCTAGTGTCTCTGCAGAGGTTTGTTATTCAGGAACAAAAACTTACGTCCAGTCCCTTTCTTTCTTCAATAAAAATTCCATTGTCTTCCTCTGTAGACAAAATACTCTTTCAGTTTTGCAGCTTTCCCAGAAGATAACAAATCCTGTGCGAATCCCAGGGTATTTTTCCACTTACGACCGTTCTTGTAGTATCCAGAAACCCCTCTAGGGGTTTGTAATAACTTTGTATCCTCTAATCCAAAAGTCAAATTGTTGCTTATTTTCCAACAGTTTATATCCATATTATAGCAAATTGTAACAAAATTAACCAGCAAGGTCCTCATAAAGTCCTCTTTATATTCTCCAGCTTTGACAGCCACTTTGACAGCTGTCAAAGTCTCCGTCTCTCTTCACCAGGCTCCACGAATCGCCCCGGTTCCCAGGGGGGTTGCATTTTCTTCTCACCCTCCACTCTTCTCCTCCAGCACATTTCTTATAATTTCCCATCGTGAAATTAATGATTTTTATCAGAGACATACTTCCCTTTGGACCTTGGTTACCCGGTCCTTGTTTTGGAATGCTTACAATAGGGGGGGGGATTGACTTCCTTTTTAAATCGCCCCCGGTCGTGCCAAATCCAAAATTTTGAACCCGGTTTCCCAATTACTCACGGGTTGTTGTTAATAGTCCAAATTTTCAATAGAAGAAGTCAGCGCTCTCCGTCGAATGGCATGCGGCTGCGCTCGGCAGGGAAAGCAGTGGACTCAAGCACCACGCCACTCCCGGCACCCGATCCGAAGCCTTTAAAAAGGCTCCTTCACGAGTCGGGAGGGCGCTAATGGTGCAAGCCGAGTCACCCATGTCCACGGACTCCGTGCCCGTGGTTTTTAAGGGTCCCCGCGTCGCCGGCGCGGTAGGACCCAGCCCCTGCCGAGCAGACTCCCTCCGGAGCTCGGAGGGAGTCCGCCATTCGGCGATGGCGCTAACCCGGAAGTCCAATAATAATAATAATAATAGAAGAAGAAAATAATATTACAGACAATTATTTTTTAATCTGATTTCTTCCATGGGGGTGGGGATTGCTAAACAAGGCTTCTCAAATTATTTCTGCAAATCCAAGCATTTAAAAAACCACTGGCAATTGCAGTATTTCCACCCCCATTACACACAAAAAACAAGCAGATAGGAAGATACAGTTGTTGTTTTTAAACCACCAGTTATTTGCCCTGCTTGAAAAAAGTGAAAAACAGCCGAGGGCTGTTTATCTCTATTCTTTTAGATCTTTCTGGCTCGAGCCCCCACCCTGCCAGCCTGGACAAAGGAGAGGCATTTACAGCCCTGTAATTTACAACCTTAGGCAAATTTACAGGCTGGTGATGATGCTGGCACCTTGAGACTTTCAAGCAATTCCAGGTCCATTTTACAGGCAGCTGCATGGGAGCCGGAGGCACAGCGGTACTTGCTCACAGACCGTGGCCGCCTCACCCATGAGGCAATGGGAGGCGACCGCCTCAGGCTCCACAATTCACTGGCTCAGCAGATCCCAATGTCAATTTTTCTTGCCCCGCCCCCCTTGTTCCTGATGTAGATCTTCCCTCACCCCTTCTTCCCTGGTGCAGAGGGGGATACCATGTTAGGATTGTTGTAAACAAAAATTGCCCTTTACCCTTATGGGGTATCCAAGAGCCCATATAGAGTCCTTACATTAGGTTCCCTATTGGTAGGAGAAAATAACAGAGGCCAACCAGAGAATATTGAGAAGCAAAGCAGCTAGTAAGCCTGATCTTTATTGATCTGTTGCAACAGGGTGCTCCCCTCACCCACAGGAGAGAGGAGGAACCCAGAAAAATGGTGCGCAAGGCCTTATGTAGACTTTTGAAATTGCCACCATGTAGATCAAGACCACCCCCAGAAAACATCATACATACATCACAGAAGGGGTGTAACCTAAGACCACCCCCCAGATACATCCTATCTACATCACAGAAAAGGCGGTCTAAAACAGAAATTTGAATGTTGTTTTTCTCCTGTCCTTGTTTATCTCCTGTCTGGCAGGTTACTTGATTGGATACCCTGCTTTCTTGATGGGATTACCTGGAGAGCCTGGCCAGTCTTTTGTAATGATAAATGCGGTACTTAGTTCCTGGGCCAGGTCACAGGCTCACACCCTGTTCATATCTTAAATGCGCCCTTAAGATTTGTGAGGAAAGAGACAATGGGGAGGTTTCCCACTTTGACCTTGCAGAGAAATTATTTGCTCAGTTTGGGAATCAAAATGGTTTCAGGTCGGTCTTCCTGTGCTGATCTATGTACATGCTTGGTTGGTACACTTATGAACATTACCATTAACATTATCTAAGACATCAAAATTCATCACAGGATCCACCTCAGGTGCCAAGATGTCTTGTTACAGGCTCACCACATTGGGGGGCTCCTGGAAGGCAGGAGGACAGTTGGCACACCCTGCTGAGGGCAAGGGTTGTCAACCTGTGCCCTATGTTGCCTCCTGTTGGAGTGTGAAGGTAACGCTCTGCTTTGCGAAGGCAAACCTCACACCAGACGTGCAACAGTATGTCAAGGAGCATTATGCCTGCTTTCCTTGACCTTTTGCCTTCTTGGCTAGAATACAGGGGTCCTTTCACAATTAGTTTGCTTGGACATATCGCTTGGCTGGAGCATGACGGGGGGGGACAGACGTAATCAAGTATCGGGGGGAACATCTGAGGGAAACACCTGCTGACACGTGTATTTGCTAACGCTGGAAATGTGCTTAGATGGAAATACGTTAAGTTCAGGGTGATTTCACTACTGTTTCCAATTGTTGACCTGCTAATAAAAGGAGCCTCTGCAGAGCTAGCTGGCAGCTTGCTTGGAGCATGCTTGCTAGCTTGCTTCTGCACAGCTCACCTGCATTACCAACTCCCATGCTGTCCTCCATTATTTCTACATTGGAGCCCAGCATGCATTTTGATCTGAGGACCCATAGGAACAGGAGAAGGCTGTTATAAACAAAAACTACTCCCTTTCCCTTATGCGGTATGTTGTAAACAAAAATCTGCCCTTTTCGCCTTATGGGGTATCCAAGAGCCCATATAGAGTCCTTACATTAGGTTCCCTATTGGTAGGAGAAAATAAAACAGAAATTTGAATGTTGTTTTTCCTGTTTGCCAGGTTATCTAATTGCCTTTCCTGGTTGTCTTTCCTGATAGTCTGCCACCCATTAAAATGCTGATTACTCAATTCCTGAAACAATGGGAAGGCTCCCTGACCCCCCTCCCCCTTGCATGGAAAACATTTGGTCAGTTTGGGAATCAAAATGGTTTCAGGCCGGTCTTCCTGTGCTGATCTACCGTATTTTTTGCTCTATAAGACTCACTTTTTCCCTCCTAAAAAGTAAGGGGAAATGTGTGTGCGTCTTATGGAGCAAATGCAGGCTGCGCAGCTATCCCAGAAGCCAGAACAGCAAGAGGGATTGCTGCTTTCACTGCGCAGCGATCCCTCTTGCTGTTCTGGCTTCTGAGATTCAGAATATTTTTTTTCTTGTTTTCCTCCTCCAAAAACTAGGTGCGTCTTGTGGTCTGGTGCGTCTTATAGAGCGAAAAATACGGTATGTACGTGCTTGGTTGGTACACTTATGAGCATTACCATATATCTAAGACCTCAAAATTCCTATCACAGGTACACAAGAGCCCTTACAGAGTCCTTTGTAGGCTCTCCATTGGTAGGAGAAAATGACAGAGGCCAAACAGAGAATATTGAGAAGCAAAGCAGCTAGTAAGCCTGATCTTTATTAAAGCAACAGGGTGCTTCCCCCCACATGCAGGAGAGAGGAGGAGGACCCTGAACCGTGCGCCCTTATATAGACTTTTGAACTGCCCACCCTGGAGCCCAAGACCACCCCTCCATACGTCATACATACATCACAGAAGGGGTGTAGCCCATGACCACCCCCCAGTACATCATCTATACATCAGAAAAGGGGTGGACTACAACAGAAATCTGAGTGCGTTGTTTTTATCCTGTCTGCCAGGTTACCTGATTGGATTACCTGGGCATCCTGGCCACTCTTTTGTTATGATAACTGCTCAATTCCTGAATCCAGGTCACAGGCTCACCCTATTCATATCTTAAATGTGCCCTTGAGACAGGATTTGTGAGCAAAGAGACAGTGGCGAGGCTCCCCATTTCCTTCGACCTTGCAGAGACATATTTGAGGTCAATTTGGGGAGAGACGAAACAGTTTCTGGAGTTTTTTTCTGTGGGGTTTATACATTTATGTATGTGCTTGCTTGGTACATTTATGAACATTTATGTTTTATATATAGGACCTTAAAATTCTTATAACAAGGCAGTGCATATATATAAGCAATCAGGTTCCACCACACCAATACAGGAAACCTGTGGGGTTCAGGTGACGTTTTGCACCTGTACTGCTTGATGCCACCTATGGTCTCTACCTGAAATAGGCGTTTTGAATTCCAAGAAGGGCAGATCCACATACAGAGCCCAGAACTCCTTCGTGCTGCAACCTCTCTTAGGTTATTCAAAATCCTTTATCAAAACCCACTGACAGAATGTGGTTCAATCCCTTCATGCTCCCCCTCAAGCAAAAACGATTCCAATGCACACAACTGGCTGTAGTTTCATTCAGCCTTGACTTTGAATTCCCCATTCCTTCTCTCTTGGTTACCCTCTGGCTTCTCCCACTGCTGAAATTTACATTGCAAATTCCTCATGGGCAGGGACCTGCCATTTCCCCTTATATTAGGAAAGTGTCCTTGCCGGAGGCCATATATGTCCCTCTCGAATCTTCCAGACTATGCACCTGTATTTTCATAGGGAGTACAGTTCCATCCAGAACAGGCCACCTGGCTTATTCCTGGACTTGGGAACCACCTCCATCTCGTTCGGGTCCAGTTTCAGCTTCTTGGCTCTTGTCCAGCCCACCACTGCATCCAGTACACACTCATGGGCTGCCTCTTTGCATATGAACCTGCCCTCACCTTTAAAACTAGTAGGGATGGAAGTTAGATAAACTGTTCTCGCAGTTACTCATTTCTTAAATTCACATTTCTACTGCAATTTGAATTTTTTAAAAAAATCTTCAGCATTTCACTGCAAATTTCTCTAATTAACACATTCTTGTTTTGACCATTGCTGTTTTAATTAGTAGTATGTTGTGCTTTTAAATTTTTTAACAGCCCTGTGATCCTTAGATGGCGATATAGAAATTTAATTATATATATAATTTTTTGCTGGTTGTATTTTCACTAATATGGGTGTTTTATGCACACTTTCCCTTGATATACAAAATTCAGGTACATGTGAATTTTAAAGGATGTTTGGTTCTCACATTTTTGACGACATTGCATTGAGCAAGAGTTATTCCACATTTTCTAGTGCATCTTCCTGTCACTTTCCTTATCACAAAAAGTCTGATCTTTCGGGAAAGTGGGTTTGTCATGCAAAAGCTCCAAATCAATGTAATTGTGCAACCTGAGTTTGTCAGTATATGATTGAATCTCACCCCAAATAGGGACAGTCTCTTATCTGTTTGGCACCAGCTGTAGAACCATTTATCTGCCTAGGTTTAATGTGACAGACAGCTTTATCTGTCTTGCTAGGGGTTCCTTTGTTGCAGTCTTCTGCTGCAGCATTGTGTCAATATATACTGCCAGGTAGAGTACATTGCAATCATCAAATCTGGATGCAATCGAGGTATGTGAGACAGTGGTTAGATATGTCTTCTCTCGGGAAAAAAGCACGGCTGGCACACCAGCCAAAACTGTGTGAAGGCACTCTGGGTCATTTTCACATCTAAATACCCAGAAGCAATCAATGCAACCGTGCACAGAGAAGCCTTTCCACTTATCCTTGAATTCCCTGAGAGACCTAGGTAGCCAGGCTGCAGCAAAAAACATCAAAGTTCTGAGGCATCTTAAAGGCTAATGAATTAAGACTAACAGGTGAAGTGGGTAAAAGTCCACAAAAGCTTGTGGCAGAATAAAATTAGCTAGTCTTTAAGTTGCCATGTGGTTTTTTTGTCATTTTGTTCCTGGATTCTCTCTCCTCCTGGATTCAGTCATCTCCTTAAACGGTCTTGGTCCAGTATACCTGAAGGAGCGTCTCCACCCCCATCGTTCAGCCTGGACACTGAGGTCCAGCGCCGAGGGCCTTCTGGCGGTTCCCTCACTGTGAAAAGCCAAGTTACAGGGAACCAGACAGAGGGCTTTCTCGGTAGTGGCACCAGCCCTGTGGAACACCCTCCCACCAGATGTCATAGAGAAGAACAACTACCAGATTTTTAGAAGACATCTGAAGGCAGCCCTCTTTAAGGAAGCTTTTAATGTTTAACAGACTACTGTATTTTAATACTTTGTTGGAAGTCGCCCAAAGTGGCTGGGGAAACCCAGCCAGATGGGCGGGGTATAAATAATAAATTCTATTCTATTCTATTCTATTCTATTCTATTCTATTCTATTCTATTCTATTCTATTCTCCACTGGATGGCAATGGGTTGACGTAATGCTGGCAGAGAGGTCATTTTGCTAATGTGCTCTACCCCATGTTCAGCCACATATTTCATGAGTCTTCCTCCAGCCACTTACTCGCCCCTTAAATCGTCAGAAAACCAAACAACATGGTCTCCAGCAAATGGAAACGAAAGAGAGCGTTTAGGAGGGATCATGTTAACGACCTGGATCATTTTCCCCATTCCAAAGATGGAGCAGGGCTTTGAAAGGACTGCCATATGGAACAACAGGAAAACCCATCAGAACGGTCAGGGATTACTCCAGATCCATCAGATTATGTGGGCCCTCCACCGCTGCAGAGTTAAGGAACCCGAGTGAATCTCAACCCTAGCAGTTAGACGTTGTCCATGATAAAGGAGCCATTTCAATCTCACCATAACCAGACGATTGGTTGGCATCCATCTGCCTCAGGAGACAAAGGAGGAGAGCGCCTTTGGGGGTGAAGTTAAAACATTGGAAAGTTATAGCGCCTGCTGTGGCTGTATGGGACCAATATGGGAAAGATGTTTTGTTGCGGCTGGGGCAGATGAAGGCATCCGGTTACGCTCCTGCAGATACGCCATGGTGTTTCTTCCTTCTACACTCCTTCCAACGGTCATTCCTCTTCTGGTCACTGCTGTGGATACATGACCTGACTGTCTCTGGGCACTGTCAAGGGATTCCTTGACATGGATCCTGAGAGTATACTTATGCAGGATGGAATCCTGGTCTTGTCACTTTTTTATTATGTACTTATTTACATTGCTGGTAGGCCACGCTTCATGCAACAGGAAGTTCTCAGGTTCTCTACTGGCCATCAACCTGGAGTTTAGCAGAAACATTCTAATACTTGGAGAGCTGTTGCCAAGACAACCAGGAAACTGTTGGCTGGGAGAAGAACTGGAAAGAAGAGATTCAAAATGACTGTTCTCTGTTCCGTATGCTGGTGGCATACTTCTCCCATCATATGTCCCCCTGCAAGCCACATTAAGAGGGTACTGACCCCTCCACAACTCAAAATACATACTCCGGCCCTCACCTTAAACAGCAGCAATGGCAATACCAGATCCTCCAAGGGCCCCTATTTTCCAGTCCCAGAGTTACAGAAGCTGTCACGGTTTGTGATTTATTATAGGAATTCTAAGGTCTCAAATAGAGAATGAATGTCAATAATTGCACAAGGTAAACACACATACATAAGTATAGGTAAAAGGTAAAGGACCTCTGGACGGTTAAGTCCAGTCAATGGCGACTACAGTAGTACCTTGGGCTAAGAACTTATTTCGTTCTGGAGGTCCGTTCTTAACCTGAAACTGTTCTTAACCTGAGGTACCACTTTAGCAAATGGGGCCTCTTGCTGCCGCCACGTCACCGGCGTGCGATTTCTGTTCTCATCCTGAAGCAAAGTTCTTAACCCGAGGTACTATTTCTAGGTTAGCGGAGTCTGTAACCTGAAGCATGTGTAACCCGAGGTACCACTATATGGGGTTGCAGCGCTCATCTTGCTTTTAGGCCAAGGGAGCCGGCATTTGCTCACAGACAGTTTTCCGGGTCATGTGGCCAGCAGGACTAAACCGCTACTGGCACACGGAAGACCGTGACGAGTGCCAGAGCGCACGGAAACACCGTTTACCTTCCTGCTGCAGCGATACCTATTTATCTACCTGCACTGGCGTGCAAAGGAACACCGTGACGGAAACCAGAGCGCACGGAAATGCCGTTTACCTTCCTGCCGGAGGGATACCTATTTATCTACTTGTACTGGCGTGCTTTCAAACTGCTAGGTTGGCAGGAGCTGGGACAGAGCAACTGGAGCTCACCCCATCGCAGGGATTCGAACTGCTGACCTTCCGATTGGCAAGCCCAAGAGACTCAGTGGTTTAGACCACAGCGCCACCCACATCCCTTTACATAAGTATACAAACCACATGTCTAAAATAGTACAGGAGAGCAATCCAAAAGCCATCTTGGCTCTTCTAAAGACTCTCAATATTTCCTCTGCCTCCTTCATCCCCCTTGCCTGAGAACAGGTAGGCAGAGAGCAATCAGGGGAAGTTCCTAAAGGGATTCTTCTCCTATGAACCTCCTTTGTATTAATTGTCATTGTTTGCCCAAATGCTCTGCATTGAGGGATCCTGATTGTTATGTACTGAGTTGAATAGGATCCAAACTGCAGCAGTCTGATTGGTCCTAGGACAATAGGATCCAAAATGCAGCAGTCTGATTGGTCCTAGAACAATAGGATTCAGGATGCAGCAGTCTGATTGGTCCTAGAACAATGCAGCAGTATGATTGGTCGGCAGGAGCCACCCAATCCAGCTCCAGATAGAAGTGAATCCACAACCTGATTGGCCTACAGGAGAATTCCGGAATTAGCCAATCATGTGCAGCCCATTGTGTAAATAATGTATATAAAGCAGATACTTTGAGGGGACTTCCATTCCCTCCTCACCACTATGAGCTGAATAAAGAGCATGAAATCCACTCTCGACTCTGAGTATATTTCACTGATTGTCTTATCAAATGCGAATGTTTTGTGTAAACTGTGTCTGGAACTATGTAAAACTTGCTAAATCCTCAGGAATATCATACCTTGGCCTTCCTGAGCCACATTAATCCCACCTTATGTGTGATGTAATTTCTGACTTTTTGTAGAGGGGATGTCCTCCTCCTCCACGTCAAAATGCAAAGAGATGTTTCTTCTTGGTTCTTCTTGGGTCTCTCTTGCCTCCTTTCTAGAAAGGGAGGGAATTCGGTTGCAACAGAAAAATAAAGATCTGCCTTCCTCCATCCATTCATCTCTGACCCATCATGGACTTAGAGGACTCAGTCCTTTGGGGAGCTGGGCAGCAAAAGCCAACCACCCCTATTTTTCTGTATCAGATTTGATCCTGGAATGTTCCACTTTTCCTTAGGACATCCCTATTTTCATCAGAGAAATGTTGGAGGGTATGGAATGGGATGTCCCTATTTTAACCGGATAAATGTTGGAAGGTATGGAATGGGATGTCCCTATTTTAACCGGATAAATGTTGGAGGGTATGCAATCCTTTGCAAAACATACAAACAGCAAAGAGGAAGGTAAACCCCCCCACCAGACAATTAAAAATGAGTATAATAATAGACCTATAATAACAGACCAGCTGAGACAAGAAAGCTAAGCTGCTCAAATGCAGCTCCGGAACGACTACCAAGCCCACGAGAGAAATAATGTTGCCCTATATTACAGGGCACATGAATTACCAAGATGAAGCGCTTTGAACACTAATAAAACATGTTATATGAGTGCTACAAATTAGCATGTGCATGTTCACAGTGCAGGGCAAAATTTGTACTTTTATCTGCTCTGCAGGGACATTTTCACTGCACACATCGAGCCCCTTTTTCCTTGTTAGGGAGTAGGAGCAGCCGAGATGACAGCTGGCGCCCCCCCCCACAAAAGCCTCCCCTCCCCAAATGCCCCAGATTGATGCGCTTTAATTGATCCTTGCCACACAGCAGGGACCCTGATGCAAATTGCATTCATCAACAAATTGCAGCAATTAAAAGAGGGGTGGGGGATACAGATGCGAGTGAGTTATGATCAAATGGCAGCCGTTTAGCGATAATTAGACCAGGGGGGTGGGGAGCGAGGGGCGGGGAGGAAATGAGTCTATTAAAATAATACTCTTTCTGCTCCAGTATAATTTGGAGCAGGGCTCAGCCCGGGAAATCTGCCTTGGGTGCCAGCATCAGACCTTGTTTGCTGAACAAGGGAGCGGTTATTCGGCTTTATTGTTATATTTTTTGTGATATTGTTTATGTATTAGATTTTAATGTTAGCTCCCTTGGGCATTTTGATTTATGATAAGGTATAAGCATAAGGGGGAACCCCCCCCCAATAAACCAAGTTACCTATGTAATACTGGACAAGAGGGCCTCTGAGCATGTGTGCCTGCCTGCAGGATCTCACCTCAGAAAGGGCTTAGCTTTTGTTTTCAGCGCCAGTCTGAGCTCTAGTCTGGAACAATGTGAAATAATTATAATGAGAACCAGAGTGACTCTGTGCATGTGCAAAGGGGCCCTTTGCTACCGAGAAACTATAACAGACCCAAAACATACATCTGGGAGTAGGGCAAAAAGCTTCCAGGTCACAATAATTTACTCTCCAATATATAAGTCCCTGAACTTTTCTTTTTCAGAGACAAGGGGCTCCTCCAGAAATTCTTATTGTGTATTCATGATTATTTGTGCCCATTATTGTGTTGGGCCTGTGGTATGTGCTGCCAATGTTTCAGGCTGCTTTGTTTCGAATCGGTGCATGCCCCATAGCTTTCCTGATGAAATCCAGTAACTTCTCACAAAGGGGACTGCTGGCTGTCCTGCTTTTGTGGCTCAAGAGTCCAAACAGCAGCAATATGGTATCATTCACATAGCGATTGTGGCATCATCTGATGTGTGGATTGTCCACAGAGAGCTTTCTGGGTCATATGGCCAGCAGGACTAAACCACTTCTGGTGCAAAGGAACACCGTGACGGAAACCAGAGCGCACGGAAATGCCGTTTACCTTCCTGCCGGAGGGATACCTATTTATCTACTTGTACTGGCGTGCTTTCAAACTGCTAGGTTGGCAGGAGCTGGGATAGAGCAACGGGAGCTCACCCTGTCGCACGAATTCGAACCACTAACCTTCTGATAAGCAAGCCCAAGAGGCTCAGTGGTTTGGACCACAGCGCCACCTGCGTCTCTGGCTCACTGTTATAGCATCAAGGACACGTTGCAGAATACAGTCATACCTCGGGTTACAGACACTTCAGGTTGCGTTTTTTTAGGTTACGGACCCGCCGAAACCCGGAAGTACTGGAACAGGTTACCTCTGGGTTTTGGGGGGCGCACATGCGCAGAAGCGCTAAATTGCGCTTTGCACATGTGCAGAAGTGCCGAATCGCATCCCGCGCGTGCACAGATGCACCGCTGCAGGTTGCGAACATGCATCCCGCATGGATCATGTTCTCAACCTGAGCGTCCACTGAAATACAGCTGCAAATAACAAGAAAAACCAAAACACTCTGGAGGATCTCTATGTTCTTATGTCTATAGTTTTGACAGAGAGAGGGTGCTGCAAAGAGATTGTGTGGACAGGTTGCAAGGCTGGGGTTGCCCCCAGACCCACGACAGCAGCTGTCAAGAGTGCCTTGCTCCACTCCTTCCCCACAAGACCCCTTGTGACCCAGGCAGAGTTGGAAGAACCGCAGAAGGAGAAGAGATCTTTGTTTCTGCCCTGTGAGATTAGCTATTAGATGCGCCACCTCTCCAGACAGACAGCTGGGAAGGCATAAGAGGTGGGGGTGAGAGGTGGGGTTGGGGAGGGGGCAGGGAAAGGGCTACTATGGCTGATTCCTGGCTGAAAGCAAGTGACACTTCTAATTTAGTCCTCCCAAGGTGGGCCCCTCGGCCAATTGTGCACCTGCAGCCTTCATGGTAGAAAGCCAGCGTATTTTGTTAGAGACAGAGATAGATAATTTATTACGGTCGGAGACCAGCTTACAAAACACACTTGGGGGTATAATCCCAGAAAGAAAACAAACAGTTAAAACAATGTACAACAATACATTTAAAATTTATAAATGTGATAAGCATATAGACACTTAAAAGTTTTTTTTTATAAGCTACCGCATAGATATGACCCAGAGTCACCCATGGAAACGAGTTTGGGGATTTTCTTCACGAACTAGTTTGAGTCGGGAGATGGTCTGCGCCTACAGATCTGTACACAGAATCTGGCGACCATCCGGGTCGTCTTATGATCTTTGCCTAACAGGAAAAGGTTGAATTTTTGCTTTTCCGGGAGGTCAGCAAGCCTCACCAGTAGGGGATCAGTGGTCTTACCACGTGCCTCTTCATAAAAGGGACATCTAAAGAACAAGTGCTCTGGGCTTCCTATATCCCCCAATGAACAGGCGCAGAATCTCTGAGCATTTGGGACTTTTCTAAAGGCTCCTTTCAGGACCGGCGAGGGCAGAACTGAGCTTCTGGTGAGTGTATAGGCCCTTCTAGAATTTTTGGATACGAGAAAGAAGCTGCCAGTGTGGCTATATCTCTCTCGATTTCTCCAATTTTATAGTCAGGGCACCTTGAGCAGTCCTGTTGTCTCTTGGTGTCTATGATTCTTTGCCTGACCGTAGCTTTTGCCTGGCCCAACCCCAGACTTAGAAGGGCTTGAGGGGCAAAACTTAGTTTCTGAAGGGTCTTCAGGACTGCTGTCTGCCAGCCTGACTGAAACTGGTTGCAGAGGAGGAGTGGGCCTATTCCTCGGGGGAGCAGATTCAATGTCAGCCATTTGTAAATTGATGTTAGGCAGATATAAGCCTCCACTTTCATCATCCCCTTCTAGTCTAACCCATGCATTTGAAACGTATCTGGGGACTTGTAGGGGAGTTATGTATAGTAAGAAACACTACCAAAGCAAGGATATATAAATCACAGGAAAATAAAACTGTGCAGTGTAAACAGTGCAAAGCTAAGTGTGCGCATTTATGCAGGGGGTACTTCGTTTGGTGCTATTAAATTAATGGGCTTTAATCGGAACTTCCCTGCCAGTATATAATAGGTGCTGATCTATCTGGTGTTAAAGGCACAGCTGCAGCAATGCTAAGCGTGAACGCTTTAATGTTAGTGGTCCTATAGTCCAATGTGGTAAGCCAGAGCTGATGCGTCAGCAACCTTTTTCAGTCGTGGGCCGGTCCACTTTCCCTCAGACCTTGGGGGGGGGGCAGACTATATTTTTGGGGGGGGAAATGAACGAATTCCTATGCCCCACACAACCCAGAGATGCATTTTAAATTAAAGGACACATTCTACTCATGTAAAAACACGCTGATTCCCGGACCGTCCACGGGCCAGATTGAGAAGGCAATTGGGCCGCATCCGGCCCACGGACCTTAGGTTGCCTACTCCTCCGTTAAGGCAACCTTGTCTTGCTCATTCTTGTGAAAGGGGCTCTAGCCTACTGCTCCCAAGTCCTCCCATAGCAGGACTGTGGCTGGAATAAGGTGTTCCTCTGTGTTGTTTTTTACTCT